TGATCCCATACAAGGATGTATTTACAGGGTTGGGTAACATGCCAGGAGTAGTTCATTTGACCTTAGAGGCTGAGGCAAAGCCAGTAGTGATGCCCCCTAGAAGGGTCCCTCTTTCAATTAAAGAAGATTTGAAAGAAGAGTTGTGTAGGCTTGAAAAGCTGCAGGTGATTGAGAAGGTAGAAGATCCTAGTGATTGGGTATCTAGTCTTGTAGTAGCTAGGAAACCAAGTGGTAAATTGAGAGTATGCATCGATCCGCAACATCTTAATAGGTCGTTGAAGCGTGAGCATTACCCATTGTCAACGATTGATGATGTCCTACCACAGTTAGCGAATGTGAAAGTTTTCAGCAAGGCCGACTTGAAGGAAGGTTTTCTACAGTGTAAGTTGGACGCAGAATCATCCAAGCTTACAACATTTCAGACACCTTGGGGTAGATATAGGTTTCTTCGCTTACCCTTTGGTCTATCACCTTCGCCTGAGCTCTTCCAGAAGCGCCTAGATCAGTGCCTTGAAGGCCTACCAGGAGTATTCGTCATAGCAGATGACATTCTCATAACTGGACAGGGTGAGACACATGCAGAGGCCTGCATAGACCATGATCGTAACATGACTAGTTTCCTTCGCCGATGTCGCGAGCGAGACATCAAGCTGAATTCTAGCAAGCTTGAGTACAAATGTAAGGAGGTGCAGTTCATTGGTCACCGACTGACCAAGGAAGGTGTTCGGCCCGATCCTAGCAAAGTCGCAGCTCTCGTTGACATGCCACAGCCAGTAGATATACCTGGAATCCAGCGATTTGTGGGAATGGTTCTTGCCATCATTGTCGGGGCTCAGCGAACCGTTACGTAGGTTGACCCACAAGGACACTCCCTGGAACTGGGGAGAAGAACAGTCTAGAGCGTTCATCGCGATCAAAGGACTTGTTACAGAAGCACCGGTTCTCCGATACTTTGATCAGCAGTTGCCGGTAGAGGGTCAAGGTGATGCCTCACAAAAGGGCCTGGGTTTCGTGTTGACTCGGAATGACCAACCGGTGACATACTCAAGTAGAGCGTTGACTGAGGCCGAAACTAGATATTCTCAGATCGAGAAGGAACTTCTTGCGCAAGTTTTCGGACTTGAAAGAAACCATCAGTACGTGTACGGTAGAAAGGTGATCCTTTGGACAGACCACAAACCGCTAGTGACAATAACGCGTAAGCCGTTGGCTTCTACACCAAAGAGACTGCAAAGATTACTATTGCGAATGCAACAGTACAATGTAGAGATCTTCTACAAGCCGGGTAGAGAGATGTACCTAGCAGACACCCTGTCGCGAGCATACTTACCGAACTCCGAGCAATCGCCGACAGAGAAAGAAGTTGAAAGCATTCACATGCTTGAGGACATAGCGGTGTCGCAGAAGACGTTAGCGCTCATCAGGATTGAAACGCAACAGGTTGAAAGCCTACAAGCGGTAAAGGGACTGATCCTTGAGGGGTGGCCCGAAGACAAGTCTCGTCTGCCACCTGGGACTTCTCCATACTTTGACATCCGTGATGAACTAACGTATGATGAGGGTATAATCTTCCGCGGACAGCGTTGTGTAATTCCTGTCAAAGTGAGACCTCGTGTGAAACAGCGACTTCATAGCGCACACACAGGAATACAGGCCACACTCGCAAGGGCCAGAGAATGTGTATTTTGGCCAGGGATGACAAGCGATCTTACAGACTATCTCTCACACTGTGAAGTCTGTGCAACCTTTGCTCCGAAGCAAAGAAGTGAACCTCTGATCAATCATGACTTGCCGAAACGTCCGTGGCAGAAACTCGGTATAGACTTATTCGAGTTGAACAACATGAACTATGTTTGTGTTGTGGACTATTTTTCAGACTACTTCGAAGTTCTCCCTCTGCCACACAAGAAAGATACCAGAGCAGTCGTCAGGCGACTAAAGAGCATTTTCGCATGTCACGGTATCCCAGAAACCATTATGTCGGACAATGGTCCCCCATTTAACTCTCAAGATTTCGCGACCTTCATGCAGGAGTATGAGATTGAGCACATCACGAGTTCCCCATATTATCCCAAGAGCAATGGGAAAGCGGAGAGTGCCGTCAAGATTGCGAAGGGTCTCTTACGTAAGACAACTGAAGCTCAAGAAGATTTTCAGCTAGCTCTTCTAAATTGGCGTAACACACCCACAGCAGGACTTGATAGCTCGCCAGCTCAACGCCTGTATGGTCGTCGCACTCGCACTCTTGTACCAACCGCGTCCAAGCTTCTGATTCCACGCACACAAAATAGAGTTGTCGCAAAGAAAGCGGAAAAGCAGAAGAAGCAAAAGCAGTACTACGATAAGAGCACGAAAGAGCTACCACCATTGAAACGCGGAGATATTGTTCGTGTTCAGCCGCAGTCTAACGCACAGAGTAAGCGATGGCACAAAGCGAGAGTAGAGAAACAAGTTGATTCCAGATCATATCTAGTCAGGTCAGAGAATGGCAATATAGTTCGACGAAACAGGAAGCACTTGCGCACATGTAGTAGCACATTCAGTGACCAGTCAGATATATTCTCCACGCCTACTAGCGTAACTCGCGAACAACCAGAGCCATCAACATCCGAAGCGAAGCGTAACGACACAAATTCACCAGATCACGTAGCGAAGTCTCCTCGTCGCGAAGCAAATAATGATATTCGCGAACCCCAGCTCGCTGAAGAGACTCAAGAACCACCAAGACCAGCTCGCCGTAGTACCAGAGCTCGCCATCCACCAGCTCACATGAAAGATTTTGTTGTTTATCATTAAATAAACATTATGTGTAACTACTTTATATAGATGTAGACAGACAACTATATATTTGTTTCATTAAGAGAAAGTTAATTGTTTATACAGGAAAGTCACCTGTTAATTAACAAGAAAGAAAGTTAGTATGTTGTTTATATTGATTGGTTGATGTTGTTTAGACAAATCAAAACAAAAGTATTTGATTTTGGATCTATTTGAAATTTGATGAAGATGATACATAATCTAAGCCAGTGTTCCAAAGGACTAATCGAGAGAAAACAGAATTTAAGCTCATATGTATTGTCTCAAAAGAACAACAAAACCACTCAAGTGTAATTATGCATCCATGCTGAAGTTGATTTATTATGATACTATTTCTATAAACACAGATATTTCCAGAGGATTTATAATTAGATTTATGTGTACTGACATGGGCATTCATACATGCATTTCAGGCCGACAAACTAATATACAGGTATTAACTTCTTAAAGAAGGAAGGATGTTATATATGGTTTAGAGTGGCAGTGCGCCCTCTTGTGTTATGTACTGACTTGACAACCAGAATGAAGATTACTAGAATAAAGCACTAACCAGTTGAAGTTGTAAACTTTAAACAGACTTTATTGCCTATTATGTAGAGTCAAACAAAAGCATAAAACAGGTAGTGGAGTGGCTTTTATTCTTTGTGGGCTCTCCTAAGGGTATGTTCTTGTGTGCAAGGAATGAATGATTGTGCCACAATGTGAACCCATCAGGGTTTTTTTTTTTTCTTTCTCTACCTTTTTTTTTCTTTTTCAGAGAGGCCTCATTTTATCTATTTGCTGTTTTGTTTACCGGTAGGTTTTCTGTCAGCCATCTCCTTTCTGTAAATATCCAGTAAGTTATCAGATTTAGAACACTGAAGTGGTTTCTCTCCATTATGTGTATGTGTGTGTTGTTGACAATAAAGTTGTAAATGATTGATTTTAAGAACAATAATTTCTTTTGTAAATGGTACAGATGAATATTTTGCAATGTACATGTATATATTCTGTAATGAAAGTCAACTCATATAAGAGAATAATAAATAAGTTTTAAAAAAAACTAAAACACAGAAGAAACTGATATGAGGCTATTATCCTGTGTAGGTTCAAGTTTGAATTAATAAACCCCATAATGTTGGACAAGTTTTGTTAAAAATCCAAACATTAGAGATTTCCCTTCATTGTGAGTTTTAGTTGCACCAACAGGACAGCACTTAAGTAGAATGTTTTGTTACACTGTGAATTTTCTCCAGTGTGTTCTCTGCTCGTGTAATGGGCAATTTTTTCAATGTGTCCCATACAGCATGGTATCTATCTATATGTTTTTTTTTTAAATGAAAATCTCTTTATATGACAATTCACTAATGGTTCCTTTGGTTTTAGATGAAATAAATATTGGACAATGTCATTGTCCCATATATGTGACATAGCTGCATGGAATCACCCTTTGATGGCTTTTTTACAGTGTGGATTCTATATCTTGAGATGTGAATGATTATGTGAATTATTATGGGAATACTTTGTTGCCAAGAGAAAAGCATATGGCTATTCTCCCATGTGGGTTCTTTTATGGCTGGTGAGGGAGCCATAACGGGAAAATGTCTTGTTACAGATGGAGCACTCGTATGGCTTATTCTCCCCAGTGTGTATTTTCATATGCTTTATAAGATTTTTCTTCTCTGTAAATCTCCCGTCGCAGTAGGAGCACTCAAAAGGCTTCACACCTGTGTGGAATCTTGAATGTTGTGTAAGATTGCTCATTATAGAGAACGCCTTACCACAAAAGGAACATTTGTAAGGTTTTTCGTCACGATCCAAACATTGAATAAGCTTTTCTTCTGAGCAAGAGCCCCTATGATTGTTGTGATCAGCATTCAAAGCATGTACAGATGACTGAGGAGACTGTTTGTTATACTGAATATTTGATTTTTCACACAATTCATCATCAAATTCCTTCTCTTTTTCTATAGTAATCCATCCACCCTCATCTTCAAAACTTGCAGGATCTGATGTACATGTATTTCTTTCTGCAGTTTCTACAAAACGAGTCTCACGATTGCAAGCGCTGCAGGAGCAACTACTACCATTCAATAGATCTTCTCTTTTGGATTTATCAACTGGGGCTTCTACGTGTATCTCAACTGTTTGGAGGGAGTCAGAACCCCTTTTTCTTATCACTACACATTTCACTTTACCATCAAGTAACTGTCTCTGTTCATCCTTCAGTTCTCTCTCTCCCAAATTTTGATGGAGCAATCTCGTTTTTAGTTTGGTGCTATCCAGACTGCAATTTCCATCTGAGGAGAAAAGAGATTGCTAAATCTCATTATGGAAAACATATTGTTACAGTAGGAACAAATATATCCCATGATCTGGTTTTGATTATTAGCTCTTAGAATACTATGATTTGGGAGAGAACTCTTTCTGGAAAATGTCATATTCCACATGTGGCTTTTTGCCATAGTGAGTTACCAACTTATCATGCATTGATTGAGATCCTTCTTGATCATGCTTTGTAAACGATGGTGTGGCTTTAGTACAATTTGTTTTCTTTATAGGTCTTGAAATACTACCGGTATGTAGAGAATATGTTTTACTGATCTTAACAACAAAAACTTTCTTTAAAGGGTGTCAGTACAATTCCATGTTACGATAAACAAATTAATATACATACTCATTGATCATTTATTGCTTGCTGTTTTTGCACATCAACATCACAACGATTCCATTTGATACTGATCAGATCCAATGAACATAAAACATCGTTGACAATAATAGTAACTATTTTCTTAAGAGTGGATTCTCATATACATAGAAAGACGAGAATGCTTTGGAACAAAAGTAATACTGAAATGGTGCACAAAGACTTTTCTGAGAGAGCTCGCTTAGACTACAGAGTCTTTGTGGGGGAAAGATTTATTACAATCCAAACATTATTGAGGTTTGGCTCAATCTCCACAGTGAATAAGACTGCCCCTTACTGCAAATGATAGGTTGCATTTGGTATACTGATCCTCATTTTCCTCTAGAGTGGATCCACACATGGTCTTGAGCAATGCCATGCAACAAAGGTAAACCGATTTGGTGTCGTTCTTTGGTAGGTCATCATGGGTTTACGGAATGATCCTTTGGATTAGTTGTGCTGAACAATGCAACAGGAATAATGTTTTCTTGTGTGGGTTCGGGAATTTCTTGCGAGCTGATGCCTTGTGGCGAATGCTTTGTTTCAGAAATGACACTGGCAAGGCTTTTGTCTTTGTGGGTTAATTGAATATGAAATGAAAGACCCCTAATTGTTGGCCATGGTTTGTTACAAAGTAAACAATGGTAAAGGTCCTTTTTAGTGTGGATTTTTACATGCACCAACAGGTCATCCTTCTCGTTAAATGTTTTGTTGCAGAAGACACACTGAAAGGGGCACTTCCCATGGTGATTTCTCACATGTTTCTTCAGAGAGCTCAATCTAGTGAAAGTTGATTTACACAACGGACAATGATGTGGACTTGCTCCTATATGGGTCCCCATGTGTTCTGTCAGATTTCTCTTTTCTGCATATCTCTGGTTACAATAAGGACACTCATACGGCTTTTCACCTTTATGGGTTCCTGAATGTCTTGAGAGATCAACCATTGTAGGAAATAAATTGTTACACACAGAACATTGATATGGAGGTTCGCCAGTGTGAGTCTTCACATGATCTTTAAGATTTTTCTTTCCTGCAAACCTTTTGTTGCAATAAGAGCACTGGAAAGGCTTTTCTCCTGTATGCGTTCTTATGTGTCTTGCTAGAAAATTTGCTCTGCAGAAGGCCATGTTACAAAAGGAACAACGATGCGGCTTATCACCAGTGTGGTTTCTCATGTGCTGCGTGAGATTGGTCTTCATTGCAAATCTTCTGTGGCACTCAGAACATTCAAAAGGTTTTTCACCTGTATGGGTTTTCATATGTGCCGAGACATGGCTCTTAATGGAGAAGGATTTATCACAGAGAGAACACCCATAAGGCTTCTCACCGGTATGGTTCCTCATATGTCTATTTAGATTGCTCAATTTAGAAAATGCCTTGTTACATAAAGAGCAAAGGTGTGGTTTCTTGTTAGTGTGGGTTGTTATGTGTAGTCTAAGAGATGTTTCTTCTGCAAATCTCTCATTGCAATCAGGACACTTATATGGCTTTTTACCTGTGTGGTTTCTTGTATGCTTCAAGAGGTTTCTCCTCGAGGAGAATGCTTTGACACAGAAAGTACATCTATAAGGTTTTTCTCCTGTATGTGTTCCAATATGTCTTGTCAGAGAGCTCACTCTGGAAAATGTCATAGTGCATAATGAACACTGGTGAGGCTTTTCGCCAGTGTGTATTCTGGTGTGTTTTGTACAATAATCTTGTGATATAAATCTTAAGTCGCAAAAGGAACATTGAAATGGTTTTTCACCCGTGTGCGTTCTTAGATGTATTGAGAGAACGCTCGATAAGTAGAAAGCCTTGTTACAAAATGAACAATGGTATGGCTTTTCTCCCGAGTGTGTTTTCATGTGTCTATTGAGAGAGCTTAATCTAGAGAAAGACATGTTACACAAAGAGCACGGATATGGCTTTTCACCTGTGTGGGATCTTATATGTGCCTCAAGATGGCCCACTGAGGAGAATGCTTTATTACAGAAAGAACAGTGATGCGGCAGCTCTCCATTGTGTGACCTAACATGTCTATCGCAAGATTCCTTGGTTAAATATCTCTTGTTACAAATCGAGCATTGGAACGGCCGTTCTCCAGTATGGATTCTCATGTGATATGTAAGATTTCTTTTCTCTGCGAATCTGTGGTTGCACTGAGAACACTTGTAGGGCTTTTCTCCAGTGTGCATCCTTGTATGTCTTGTAAGAGAGCTCATTCTGCTGAACGCTTTGTCACATATAGAACACCGATGTGGCTTTCCTCCGTGGCTCTTCATGTGTTCCATATGTTGACTCTTGTACGTAAATCTCTGTTTGCAATATGAGCACTCATATGGCTCTTGCCCAGCGTGGGAGCTCATATTGTGTCTATTTAGAGAGCTCTTAGTGGAGAATGCTGCATTACATATAGAACACACATTTGGCTTTTCCCCCGAGTGGGTTCTCAAGTGGGCAATAAGTTGACTCTTGAATGTAAATCTTTTGTTGCAATAGGAACATGGAAATGGCTTTTCTGCCGTGTGGATTCTCATATGTTGCGAGAGTTTTTGCATTTCCGAAAACGATTTGTCACAATCCAAACACTGAAAGGGGTTATGTTTTGTAGAGGAACTCACATTGTTGGAACAAACAGGATGTGAAGTATCTGATGGAAAAGAATGAACATTATGATGATTTGCTGGCATGTCACAAGGTATCTCATCGCATTGCACTTCTTCTTTTGAACTCATCAATCTGTGCAGTTCATCTTCAGAATATGCAGGAGCCAATGTATCTCCTCCTGCACCCCTTTGTTCATCCAACCAACTCTTTTTCAGAGATGGTTCAGGTGAGGATTCTACCTCAGCTTTGGGAAGAAATTGAGTAACCCTTCCATCTATCACTGTACAATTCACTTTACCGTCAATCAACTGTCCTTGTTCATCCTTTGATCCTCTCTCTCCCAAATGTTGCTGGGGCAATCTTGCATTTCGAACGGTGCTCTCCAGACTGCAATTTCCATCTGAGAAGGGAAAACAAATTTGATGCTATTTCTTAAGAAGATCGATACCTTGAAAATAGATGCACAGGTGCATTTGTTATCGAGTGTGACTTTTTATGCGAGCTGCTACAGAGTTCAATGTAGAAAATGTTGTTATATAATATTAAAATGGTTATTCATCTGTGTGGGATTTTAGATGCCTGGAGAGACACTGTTTGCTAGTGAATACTTTATTACAGCAGGGTCAGTGAAGACACAATTTGCCTTCAAGGGATCGAGTTCCTTAAATGTCTCCAGACAACTCTCCTTGTGTCAAATTGTTTTACAGCCTGACCCTTGGAATTTCTTAATGTCATAATGTGCCTTGTAATAGTCTTACTAGATAGATGGCACGATATAAACATTACTATTATTATCATCATCATCATCATTATTAATATTATCATTATCATTGTTGTATGTTGTATCCAGTATAATTATACTTTATTACTTTCTCCAGTATGGTATGATCACAAATTTTCTTTTCAGACACTTTACTATTCACGTTACCATCAAAAGAGTCTCTCTGACCACCCTTCAGCACTGTCTCTCTTGAACTGTCATGGGTTGTCTCGATGCCTTTTTGATGGAGTGTCCCTATGCTTTGATTGGTGCTCTCCACACTCAGGTTGCCATCTAAGGAGAAAATAAAAGATATTGCATGCTGTTCTCAAGAAGAACTGAAGAAAAAAAATGGGGAACTTAACATGTGTAACAAATGAAGCCAGAGTCATAATGTTTTAGATTTTTTTTGGTTTTTTTTTAGTTTTTGTTTATTACATTGCTTTTTTTATGTTTGTATTCAGGCCTAGACTTTATAATGCCCATGATCACTATTTAAAAATATTAAAAAAATTGACTTGCCTGACCTGTGATATCTCCTTTATATATACATACACATATTACCCCTATAAAATATTATACTGTCAACAAAATACTTTTGCAGTTATCAGTATTTTCTTGGCTTCGACAGATTAATTTTTGTTAAACTTGGGAACCTCCATATCAGGTGCACATGAAAATGGGCTTAAATGTCAGAAAAGATTGAAATAGTATCATATTCCTTGCCTTTGAAAGTAATGTTCTTTAGGAAAATCATTTATTTTGCGTAATGATTCCAAAACCTCATGATATTGACAAATTCCTGTGGATTTATATAATCAACCTTTCCAAGTAGCTTAAGAAGTTCATTTCATAATTCATATTATATGAACAGGGCCCCGTCTTGCGTTAGATTTAAATTGCAACTTCAAATTAATCTCAACTCCTATCGTTTATGTACACAGTTGCGATTGATTTGAATCAATCGCAATAACAAAGGTCCCATGTACTCATATTGATTTTTAAGGGACTTTAAGGGACAAATTCCAGTTTCAATACCTTGATTTGATGATACATATCCAGATTCTGTTAGCTGCATATTGGTTGTGTCATTTTCACTCCAGTCATCTTCTATGACCTCTTCTTTGATGCACACAACCTGGTAATACTCCTCATTTTCTTCAGACATCTTTGTCTTGAGTGTTTGTGGGCTACTATAATGCTTGTGACCGTTAGAAAGTCTTAAAAGATAAAGACAGAAAGAAAAAAAGATTGGAAACATTTTTGCGTTGTTGGCCTTACACTGAAAGGTAAGCAAATTACTGCTACCACTCAGGTATCAATTTTTTACATTTTTGAATAAATTCTCGACAAATTTCAAAACAAAGTGCTTTGTTCAAAGAAGAGTCCACTACTCTCTAGCAAACACCGAGGAAGGTAGTTGACAAAGTCTGTTGGGTGCAGGAATGACCAGGGGTGATTACGAACACATTATTTACGATTAGTTTACATATTCATAGGTCTATTCATACTCAGTCATAGCGCATCAGATGATGATCACATGGGTCCCGAGGCGGCCCTCCCAGAAGGGGAGGGGGAGGGGCCGAGCAGGTGGGGGGCGGTGGGCAGAGGTGGCATGGTGCCCCCCCCCCCCCACTTTTTCAAGTACCTGAAGCAGGGCGCGACAAACCCGCTTGCCCGACGTCCCGGGGCAACCAAATTGAGCCGTCGGGCAAGTAAATCAAATTATCACTTGCCCGATTCGGGCAAGTGATACTTTTACAGTAATTTCCTAGTGTCCAAGAACTCTACCATTCACCCGTCAACTTCTTACCCGTCGTCAAAATCCAGAAGCAAAAAAGCGATCGTTCCGATTTCGAAAAAACTTCACAGACAGCTAGCCAGCTCAGCTAGCTCAGCGCGCATGCAACAGTGACACTTCAAGCCATGAATGCCGCTCCGCCTCCACGCACGGCCGGCCGTGAGCTAGCTAGAGACAGCTAGCGCGATCGTACCAGCTGCGAGCTTATTCGCGCTCTCTCTCTAGCTCTGCAGGCCGCACCGACAGGCCTTTGCTATTCTCTGATTGCCGATTGGTTGAATCACGCCAAATATGACGTCATTATTCTAGGGAAATGAACACGTGCGAATCGGAATGGAATAAACAACAGGGATTTTCTAGTAAGTACAAAAAGTCAAGTGTTTGATATTTATTCATAATGACTGTTAATGATTGTGAACATATTATTTAAAACTCGCTGCTCATATAAATCAGATGAATGATTTTGTCTCGTTTTCAATTTATTACTGCGGTCTCAAGATCCGACCGAGCGAGTCATTTTGATAATAGTATCGAGACCCCCAGAATATAAGCCGTTGTTGTTGAACCATTCTACCTTGCCGAGATTCATGTGAATCTGATTATTTATGGAGAATCAATAAAATGCGTTTTTTAAACCTTCAACCATCCTTTGTTGACCATTTTCTTTGACATATTAGGTTATTATTCAGTACAGTTACACTGTACATGTATGTGCATTAATTTGCTATCTAAAACATCGGGAGCCCGGTGGCCATTGGCTCCCTAAACCCCCTCCGGGCTCCCTGAAAAAGTGCTTGAGGAGCCCGGCTGGCTCCCTAAGTTTTTCTAGTAACAGCCACGAAAAATGCTGTTTCTTACCAGCACCTTAATCCATGTTTTAATCCATCTAAAAACCCAAATTCCGCAGTCAAAATCATGAAATATGCGATAGGCATTCCAAGGCACACTTGGCTCAACTCCAGCGCGAATAATGAGTTGCAAAAGAAAACACATCGAGATCAGTGCAGGAATGCCATGCATGATAACGTTATATCTCCGCACTCGTAACGAGTGCGCAATACATGCTGCATTGTATGTCGGTGCACTCAGAGAATGTACACACTAAGACAAACGCACGTGGTCGCTGTGTTGCCAGAGCTGAGTGTATGTTTACGTCGACTCGTGTTTGTGACACATGTGCGTTTGTAATCGTGAGTGCTTATTCTTCAGCGTGCGTACCTGGATGGACTTGATTATTGTTTGAACATAATTTTACGAACTACAAACTTCAAAGGCGTGTGTAAAAAGGGGTTGATTGTTGTTTTGTGAACATATGTACGAATTAGGGAGATTCGTGGCTAATCGTTAAAAAGGCGTGTATAAACGGTCAAAGGGACTGAAAAGAATAAAATATGGAATAAAAAAGTTTGACTTGAATGTCGTTGGACTAACTTAACAGCAATCAATAAATGAATTTATTATTTCTTTCATATGTTTTCGCAAGGTTTGTGTACTACTATAAACTGTTGTGTGTTTTTTTCTTACAGTTTATGTATTTCACAAAATGTTTTTATTGTAAACTGAAAGTAATTTAGCCTTCCATGGGTTGGCTGTCATATAGTAATACGTCATTTGATTAATTAAAAAAAAAAAAGTATTTGACTATTTCAATCACGTTTCGTCTGCTATTACGACTGAGCTTTTATTTGCAAGATTTCATTCATGAAAACAGTGAGTCACGTCGACACTTTCAACATAGTGCCTGTGTTGTTTGGTAACGATTGCATGAGAAATATAATCAATGACTATATCTGATTCTCATTCTGATAAAACCTAAAGTCCAATGTTAGACTGTTACTGTAGCCAAAGGGCTTCATAATAGTTGTAAGATTAATTCTTCAGTACAGTCAGTTAATCCTCATGGTCACATTTACACTTAATAATACACCCCTCCCTGGTCCCGGCGCTGATGATTATAAAAAAAGGTATCGTGACGGTGTGTTCTAATTTTTTAATAGTTAATGACCATTATTATGACCACAAAAAAAACGTGATAAACTTGGGCTCCCTGAAAAAGTGCTTGAGGAGCCCGGCTGGCTCCCTAAAAAAAAAGTAAAGGTCAGGCCCTGTAACTTATCATTACGAGATAATAAATGCTTTAACCTCGAGTCCTTTTTCGCTTTAAAGTTTTGGGCAAGTGGAAATATTGTTTGGGCAAGTAAATTGAAAACCCACTTGCCCGACAGGGCAAGTGGTGAAAAAAATTCTTGTAGCACCGTAATGAGGATCCGAGACCGAGACATTACGGTAGATAACTTCACACAGCTCAGGCGCGTGCCCGCCCGCAACCCACCATCGGTATGCACTTGTATTGTGCAGTGGTTCGCCGTGAAACCTGTGAAAAAAAAGTAGATATCAATGTTTTTCCAAACAATACTCCAAAAATAACAAGAAAATTGTCACATACATGTAGACCTCTATAATAATAATAATAATAGTGGGTTCTTGTATAGCACTCATGTCAGTCAGATTTGACCCTCCTGGCGCTCCTGATTATTACCCAGGCTTTAGCACGGCTGCCATACGGCGCTCTAGCATTTCAAGGAATAAATTCCTACCAGGTACCCAATACTAGATCTATTAAAACATAACAACTTTTAACTCATGATCTTTATTATTTGGACATTTAATGAATATTTACTGCATTTTGGTAGTCTACTTAGATTCTAGTAGGGTATCTCCACGCCCAAGTTATGAGTCAAATTTTTGGATAGGTTTCTGAACAAGCGTTTGAAATGTCGAGAATCACAGCTTTTAATACACAGCCAGGATCACACAGGTGCATTACTATTCCTGGCTGTGTAAAAGCACCACTGGCACTGGCACTGATCTGATCTAGATATTTAGTACAAAACTCAACTGATTTCACTAAAAATCGGTACTTTAGTCTAGATCTAGTGACGATTGACGACACCTGAATAGCAGTAAAATACAATGTTTTCAACTTTCCGATGTTAGAAAGAATAACTTAAAAATTCAAATTGTGAGTCCACTGTCAAACTTGCCGATCGGCCGCATCGGCATGATTGTGTGCATCTGTGTGTTATGAGTGTATTGACTATTCATGTATTCAAATGCTGCCTATTTACACGTAGTGCAGTGCTAGAGCTCAATACGCATTAGCATTTACTCTCTATGATTTGCTGGAGTGGAGTGGTCAGGATAGTAATGCAGCTATGTGTGCCAAATCAGAGGAACTAACGAAAGAGACCTAGAAAGTTATTATAGATCTAGATCGACTATAACCGGAGTGAATCTTATAACAATATAAATACATGTATATAAATCTACACTCAATTTTCGTTACCTTCAGTTGGTAGGCCTATCGAATAACGACAACTTTGCTACACATTGCATGCTGGCCAGCGGATCATTAATATTATTATTTGCAGAAATATTGTAAAACAATAACTAGCTCGCTCTCTTTCTCATCACAAGAGGGCGCTCCTTTTTTCTACTCCTTCTATTCCTCTATTATATCAAAGATCTTGTTTTATATTGCTTATTTTGAAAATGTCTTGTTATGTGAATTTCTTTTTATGTGAAATTATGAGGAAGAAAATAAAATATCATTAAAAAAAATAAAAATAAAAAAAAATCCTCACTCCTCCTTTTACCCCTCCTAAAAAAAAAAGGGGGGGGGCTTTATAACGGACAGAGTAGAGTGGGATGATTATTTATGTCTATGCATAGGTCCATGGTTTAGCTATGTCTCTCGAGAAAAAAAAACCCAACCGAACTTTTCATATCATGTTTAAAGAAAACAATCATGTTCCCCAAACTGTATTGTTATTATGCCAAAGCTACAACAATTTCCTTTTTCGTATATGTATTATCAAATATGTTATGAAGTTGCCATGCATAAATGCAGAATATCGACGCCAATGGTTTTAAAACTATAATACTGTTATTACTACTTCAACTACTATTACTACTACTACTACTACTACTACTACTAAAGTATACTAGTACTACTACGTACTACTACTACGTACTACTACTACTACTACTACTACTACTACTACTACTACTACTACTACTACTAAGATTCAAGATTTATTTATTTCTTTACACTTGCATACAAAAAAATCATTTCATTAAGGAACAGTAGCAACAAGTTCATCGTCAACTAGCATAAATACATTAACAATGAAACAGTTATAAAGACTTTAACAATTGTGGAATAGAGGTGGTCTGTAAAAACGCACAGCTTGTTAAAACACAGATCTCCTTTACAGGAACGACAATGTTTAAAGAAGTAGATTACAATAATAATAATAAATAATAATGATGATACATAATACCCTTATCACTATCATCAACATCGATCGTAACCATTTATCAATTAATTAATTGATTACTTAATATTAAACAAATTACACTTAATGACGAGACAAAGACGTACGAGACAAAGACTGGGGATTTGATGACGGACGTTCGTTTGTCCCAAAAACAATTTAATTTGTTAATGATTTGGTCTCAAGCTCGGATGTGACTGCCAGTGGTGTACGCAGGATTTTTTCAAGGGGGGGGGGGGGGTAACAATTTGAAATTGGGCCAAAACTTTCGCAACAACCCAGCCAGCCGCTGAATAAACGGGGGGGGGGGGGGTGAGAGGACATATATATTTTTGGGGGGTCCCGAAATTTGAAAAATTGACCGCTCGACATTCCGTTTCGTTGGGGGGGGGGGGTTAGGTCATCTTTTTTAGGTCGTCCATTAGGTGTTTCCCCCCCCCCCCCCCCCCAAAAAAAAAAAAAAAAAAAAAAATCAAAAATCAAAAATCAAATGAATCACTCATAAGGGTTTTTTTCTCAATAAACATACACATAACCCCCCCCCCCCCCCCCTGCGTACGCGCCTGGTTACTGCCCAACTGGTATCATAATGGAAAGCCGAGGTTTAAAAAACATGGTGTAGGTCGTTCTATAATAATTACTAAATCTATCTAAGTATAGTTATTTATTTATTAAGCGGTGAGTATCTTTCCAGGCAGAAAGCACCTAAAGCGCCCCTCCCCGAAAAAAATAAGAACAAACAAACAAACAAACACGATCGAAACTAACTTTTAGTCCTTATTTGTTTAAAGGGGGGAATCAAGCTCTTAAAAAACAAACGTGGGTCTCTTTAGGTAAAATCTATTTCGCTGTTGACTTAATAGTATTAATAATTCATTGCCTATACTTGCCCCTGTATTAATCCTATGGCAACGAATGCCTTTAATGGGCCCCGGGTAATCTATTCAAAGAGAAGTACCATCTTGAAATTATGGCTGATTTGATCTGGATCCGCCACTGATAGCAGATAGGCCTACATACCGTACATTATTTGTTATATCAGTAGGACAGAAGCCAATAAACGATATAATAGACATCATATTGGGACCGACAAAAATAGAACAGCTGTTAATTGTTATCAGTGGCGTAATGAGCAAAATCTTTGGGGAAAAGTGAGGGGAAAAAAACCCTGAAAAATCATGGCATTGCAGCAACATTTGTAAATCACTGGTATCGAATTAGAAATAAACCTGTTTGAATGTTACCCCCCCCCCCCCCGTTAGTACGCCAGTGTTAGTTATAACATATATTTTCTTTATATCAGGTCTATTTATACAGTTTCCACTAGTAACTCAACTCACCAACTGTAAGAAAATATATGTTTTGTACAAAATAATGAGGAAGTATGGGACAGAAGAGAAGATGGAGAGATGACCTAACATCGGAACGGCCGCTTGGACTAGGACAGCTAGAGACAGGAGGGCTTTGTCCAACGTCTGGATGAACTATAGCCTGATAGATAGATAGATAGATGGTCCTTTTTCATCGGTAGTCTGTCCTATTTAGTTTTTGTTTTGTTTCGCTGTTTTATTTGTCACATGGTATACATTATTATAATCTAATGAACGTATGTCCCAATACTTTGAGTCAGTTTTATTTAAACTTTGCAGAGTATTTGTTTACAATATTTTGCTCTTTGCATCTTTTTTAAATAAAGTGTAAACACCGATTGATGATACAAGAAAAAAGATTTTTATTACATACTAAATTGTTAACTTTTTTATATTGATTTTTCCCGTTAACAAGCTAAATGGAAATGAAAATACAGAATAACAAGAGAAATGTCCGTGACATATACTATCTCATAAATATGATATAATATTAAGTTATAAAGCTCAGAAACTAGTCTCTGAGCCCTAGGAGCTCCTGTTATACAGTAAGGTACTATAAATATTGAAATTAACTTGAAAGGTGATGTGCGTTATATAGTACATGTTTTTAGACCTGTTGGAAAAGTATTAGTTTGTTTTCCTTTACATTAATGAACATCAATTTCGTGTCTCACATGATCAAGTTACTCATAATTATGATGATAATGGAGAATGGTATCAATAATATAGAATTTCAATACAACGTTACATACATGAGATTGTGTGTCTCTCACAGTAGTTTCAACAGGAGTATACTCCTGTTGAAACTACTGTGAGAGACATTATGTTTAAAGGAGAGACTTGGAAAGAGAGAAAGAAAGAGAGAGAGAGAGAGAGAGAGATGATAGTCGAGAGATACAAAGAGAGAGAGAGATAGAGAGAGAGAGAGAGAGAGAGAGAGAGAGAGAGAGAGAGAGAGAGAGAGAGAGAGGAGTGTGGGAGCATTGGAAAGATAGGCAATGCGAAAGAGGGATGGATATAAGAGGAAAATAATAATTAAAAAAAGTTGAGATGAGCGTGCAATGTAAGCGGATAATAATAGTTGTTGATAATGATAATAATATCAATAGGAATGACTGCAATAATTACAATAATAATTAGATCATTATAATGTATTCTTGATATTATTATCATCATTATATCATTTCCTTTATCATGTTCCATGAGATGTTAGTGAAGTAGAATTTGAGAAGTAATGTGAGAAGATATGTTACCCTGTATAGTAGAAACATTTGCAGTAAAGCAAGGGGGAAAAGACGTTTTGAGTGTGTCTCAAATACGATGTAAAGCTAAGTTCACATTATACTTTATAAAGTTATAGGTTTTCAACATTATATATTCTCCCTCGCAGCTCGCATAACTGAACAAATTGACAGGAGTTGATTTGAAAGACACACCCACCTTTTGTCTAGTTTTCCATTTTGGGACTCAAGAGGGCGACAAACATAATTTAAAAAACTTAAAATTATGAAAATAATGAAATATAGATTAGAGGGTCATACCTCTTCATCTTATGAAAGGAAACAAAATCCCCCACAAAATGGTGGTTACGAAATATAAAAAAATAGACGGAAAAGCCTCTATGCCTATGCTGCTGCTATATGGCTTGCTCAATGCTGTCGATGTCTAACGTTAGATCCGCAGGATCTTGATGAGGACAGGAAATTACGCACTAACATAATTATTGGACGCGTACCAAATTAATGCACATATATACAATACATAGATCTAGTACGTAGACTAGACCTACAGTGTATATCCGGGTCGTCGAATTGTCTCATCATCGGAATCGCCCGAAGTTTTGGATTCTTCTGTCGTCAGTTTCTTTGCTCTTATTTCTGGGATACTCTCAAGTATAAGTAAGTTAGTTAGTAGAATTATAACTGGAGTTACCTTTAAAAACTGCTGCGGTTTTTAACACGATTCCTTTTAACACAGAGATCTGATCGGTACGAATCCCCGATGTGGGAATCCTCCGTATGTGGCTGTCGCTGACCGCCGGGGCCGCTCGCTTCGCTCTGCATGCCCTTCGATGACACTAGGCTCCGGGCGCTGGGGCGGACCCCAAAAGCAAGAGACAGAGAAAGTGTGAGGGAGAGAGAGAGAATGGGGGGGGGGGGGGGGGGGGGGGGAATGGGAGAGGGAGGGACAGAGGTCTGGTATATCATGGTTAGCCCGAATTTTCTGTCTATTTATTTCGTTAGCCTCAGTCTGATCTGGGTAGGGTCGGTCGGCTCCTCATCTGTAAAGAGATCGAAGCCAACCTAACGAACGAAAGAGACAGAAAATTTGGGCTAGTTTATGGTATGACCGTAGACCTAGACTAGACCTACATGTATGTATGGTGGTGTGACCAAAGTTCGCTATCTCAAAGAATTGGTAAGAGTACCGGTATAAGATACCGAAAATCTGGTATCAGTGTATCACCAATGCAATGGAAAGAGCAACGTTAAATTACCCAGAGATGAAATTCTCTTTGGAATTGGGTGTGAAATTGTGAAACTATTGACATAAGATCGGCAATTGAATGCAAAGAAAAACAAAAAGTGTAGTAGTTCTAGTACTTCTAGTAGCCTAGACAGCGCTTGTTCAGAAACCTATCCAAAATTTGACCCGTAACTCTGGCGTGGAGATACCCTACTAAAATGTACCCAAAATGAAGTAAATATTAATTAAATATCCAATTAAACATCATGAGTTAAAAGTCGCTATGTTTATTACCTGTTTCGTGTCAATTTTCTTGTTATTTTTCGGAAAAAGGTTATGAGTATAGATCTACACTTTTTCACAGGTTTCACGGCAAACCGCTGCACAATACAAGTGCATATGCGGGCATCTATACCGTAATGAGGATCTGAGACATTACGGTAGATAACTTCACACAGACGCGCGCCCGCCCGCAACCCACCATCGGTATGTACCATACTTGTATTGTGGAGCAATTTGCCGTGAAACCTGTGAAAAACTGTTTACTAATATCAACGTTTATCCAAAAATGCTCCAAAAATAACAAGAAAATTGACACGAAACAGGTAATAAACAAAACAACTTTTAACTCATGATCTTTATTTGGACATTTAATGAATACACTACATAACAGAGCCAGATTGGCAAATCAGTCATTAGTTTAAGTCCACACTTTTCATTAAAGTCCACCCTGATATTAAGTTGGTTTGTACAGAAGCAAAAATGAGAGAAACGGGTCTGTGGAAGTTTCATCAAAAAACGATTGAAAAGAAGAAAGTTAAGAATTTTTGTAAGTGTCATCAATCAAACACAAATTGGCAACTCTGATAGGTTTGACTGTATTTACAAAATGCAACCATCCCTTTTCTTCTGTCTTCTATCCCCCTCCCCCGAATCTTCCGTTGCAGATTTGAGAATTGACATTTTACCTGAGGTGAACTCTTGACGTCATGGCTGCCTATAGGCTGCTGCTCACTGTTCTCTGCTTCTCTGCCGTACTGTGCTTGGTACATGCAAATTGGAAGGCTAAGCATACTCAGAAGATAATAACCCCATTGAGCTGTAAGTTTGCAACTTTTTCTATTTTGTTCCATTTTTTATTTTCTATTTTTTGAAATACAGATTATTTGCAACTTATACTTGATTTCTTACCAACATTAATGAAAGATAAAGAAATATTTGACAGCCACTTCTTCTGCTACTGCACTACTCAACTAGTAATAATGATGGGGACGTGATGATGTTGATGATACTACTACTACTACTACTACTACAGTTACTTGTTATTGTGATATCTCTTTAAATGTTATTGTATACTTGTCTTTTCCATCAATATTTTATTCATGTGCAATTAAGTTACTTGTAGCAGCAATACATGGAAATGAATCAATAAATACCACATTTGACATGTAAAGCCCCAGTCCCATATAAAGCCGGACCAGCACGGACGAGCACGGACCACTCCGGACCATCCCGGACCATGGTCTGGGGTGATCCGGGATGGTCCGGGATGTTTTGTTCAAAAAAATGGTGATGCTTTTAAAGCTACAGTCCCATATACGTCCCGGACCGTCCCGGACCATCCCGGACCCATCCGGGGTGATCCGGGATTCGGTCCGTGTTGACACCGTGTTGGCACCGGGGTGGTCCTGGATGGTCCTGGATGGTCCTGGATGGTCCTGGATGGTCCTGGGCGGTCAATAACTCACTCCCGGACTGCCACGGATCAACACGGACCGCCCCGGCGCCACTACGGATGACCCCGGACCCAGCACGGTGGCTACACGGATCACCCCGGATCAAACTATTGTCCCGGACCGTCCCGGACCACCCCGGCAGTTTTTGACCGTCAAAAACATCCGGGGTCGACTCCGGACCGCCCAGGACCATCCAGGACCACCCCGGTGCCAACACGGTGTCAACACGGACCGAATCCCGGATCACCCCGGATGGGGTCCGGGATGGTCCGGGACGGTCCGGGACGTATATGGGACTGTAGCTTTAACTGAAAATTTCAAGGGCAAGCACTTATTGTGAACTTAACAACATTCTGCAGTGCTGTTTATGCTCACCCTAGCTGTGCAGGGCAAGCTTGTTTTATATTTAATAACCATAAATTTGCAATGCCTGGAGTTCTGGTATTGTGCATCCTTCCACAACTAAGGTTAATATAGCACAAACATTGATGCAGAACATCCTAAAGGTATATGGGTTTTAAAGGAGAGGGGGGGGGCATTGTCTGGCTGTGCCCCCCCCCCCATTTAAATCTGCCACTGAAATAACTCCCCCCCCCCCCTCATTTCACTCCTATTTTTGCAATGAAATCATAATTTTAGATTCATGGTACTACATGTAATGCTATCATTGTATTTGGAACTTTTGCATTTTGTACCAAAAATCTTGAATGTCATGTGACATTGTCTTCCTTGTTACATTTTTGTTAACTACTGACATTACTACATGAACTATGAGGAAGTACCTCTGTTGTTCTTCAAAAAGCTTCTCAAATGTATGCATTTCTATACATTATACATGTACATAGTTAATTCTAAATTTGTAGTATGTTTTGTTAGTTTTCATATATTGGTTATTGGTTTCAGCTGTTCTGTAGAGAGCTTTTATCAGTTTTGAATTAATATCATTATTTTTTATAATTGATTGCATTTGTGATATCAGGTGGATTTTCTGTTAATAATGTGACAAGCTCTCCGTGTGACACAAACCTTCAGCAGGTCTTTAAGCTGCTTGATGTGGACAGCGACAGGATTCTTATTGGAAGCACAGAATGTCTGTATGTTCTTGATCGTAATCTGGTAAGTTTGGCCCAAGCACAGCTGCAATGACTCTAGTATCCACTGTACAATTTAGGTCCAGTTCAATAATTTGAAATGTACCAATTACAAGAACATGTTTTGCCCTTTAATAATGTAAGTGTGGCAAAATTGTATTCAAAATAAGAACTTCATAAAAGAGATTTACACTTACGTCAATATAAAATGAAACTCTGCAGTTGACCACGTCATATTTTATCATATGTGATTATATTGCCTCTGGAAATTGCATTGGTGTTTACTTTAAAATGCTTCATGCTTGTGAGAATCAAATGCAAGGCAGTTGAAAATGTCCTGAAGCACCTTCGACCATGTCCCATACATGTGCCATACATGTGCATTAAACTTGAAATGAATAAGAATACTATTTATACAACATGCCTGTTGTTTCAAAACCACCAGTTTGTCGCAAGGATCAAGTATTAGTTATGCCACAGAGATTCTCAGCTTTCGAGAGATATGTACACAGAGCTTTCCTAGTAATTCTACTAGAATAAACTTAAAGGGGAGGTTGAGTTCTGGGGAGAGGTGAAAAATAATTTGTGAGCGTTATCATTGTTGTTATGCAATTGTGGAAGAACATCAGAGGAGAAATATTTCTGAAAAAGCATGGCTCTTCAAATGCCTTCATATTCTAAATATGACAAGTAACAGCTTAAAAATGAGGCACATTTTTATGCCACATGTTTGTGAAGTCCCATATACATCTTTCTGTGTACAGTGCTTGTTATTGTACTGAGACTGAGCCAAATTTCTTGTCATTTTGATGACTCCAGAACCTAGCAGTACTACTTAAATGCTACATGATCAACTTTTTCTGATCGATTCCACACTGTTTTTTTCCGAAATGCAATCGCACGACCAGAACTCAACTTTATCTCAAAATATTTTACTCATATGATGGAAAGCTACGTGTCCTAACCATTCAGTACTTTCTACTTCTACATATTTTTTTCTTCAATGATTGCAATTTTTGTTTTACCAGGTATACGGCAATTCATTCCAGATTCCTCTGACTAATAATCCAATGAATGATCTCCAAAATTGTGAATCTACTTTTTCTCAAGAGGTTTGTACAATATTTAATAAAAGGAAAATCCAACCTTGATATAAAGAAAGCAGAACAAATCAGAGTAGAAGAAAGTTTGAATGAAATCGGAAAACAAATAACAAGGTAGTGAATTTTTAAAACTTGTTACTACTATAAACATTGGGATTTCAAATTGACTGAATCGGTAATGTCACTGTTGTGTATTGCTGGATGACCCATTCGTTTCAATTCACTAAAATGTCAAGTTCTCAAAGTTTATGACTCCGGATTGTCCCTTCTTTCTAGGGGACCCATATATATAGTGAGATGCTATCCATAATGTATTTTGAATAGTGCCCTATAGGAGAAGGCACTTCTCCCTTACAGAATAAGATAAATTGATAATATTTTTTAATACGACACAATTCACTGACAAATTTGCCAATTTGAGATTCGCATAGCTATAGTGATCACGTATTTCAAACATTCATAACTCTCTTATTATTGGTCCGATTTATTTCAACCTTTCACCATTCTGTTTTTCTTATTTTACTGCTTTCATACTAATGAACATATATATTCCAAAGGTTGGAATGCCCTTTAAGGGCAGATCAGACCGCACTGATTTAACAACAATTAACTACCGGTATATTGAAAAATCAATTACAAATCGCTCCCCACCTGTGAATGTATAAAAGGCTATGGAAATTGTTATAGGTCAGACTTCAACGACATATGCTATTTATTTCAACCTTTCACGATTCTGTTTACCTTTTTTTACTGCTTTCATACTTATGAACATATTCTAAAGGTTGGAATGCCCTTTAAGGGCAGATTAGACCTCACTGACCTGTGAATGTATAAAAGGCTTTGGAAATTGTTATACATGTAGGTAAGACCTCAACGACATATGCACATGAGTCTCCCTTAACCAACAGCAGTTCCCAATTTGTACACGAAAATATTGATTTTTCACCGCATTGCCAATTCAGATATTTTATTGATTAGTTACAATTAAATTGTTCTTTCTGCTCATGTATATAATGTATGTGTTCAAGAACTCATTCGAATTAATGAATTTTTACATGAATTTGCTAAACTTTAGATGATGCTTAGACACTGCTTTTGTAAATGTTTTTTTTTTTTTTTTTTTTTTACTCGTGACGACAGAACATAGAATTTTGCTCCTTTGGCAATTGCTCCAGGCTTTCATCAAAGGTATAGAGAGTTAGGGTCAGGGTTGCTATTGGGTTTTAGGTTAGGGTTAGGCATATTTTTGGGTCTAGGGTTGAAGTTAAACATTTTGGTTAGGATTGGAGTTTAACGTGGAGCAATTGTCACAGGACCAAATGTCATTCAACCATTTTCCTTTATCTCGAATGCGCAGAAGGACTTCCGATGCAAGAACTACATCACATACGCGCATAAAGTGAACTCGAAAATCCGTGTGTGTGGGACCTACGGCTCTTTGAATCCTCGCTGTTGGACTTGTCAATATGATGGCACAGTATGTATAAGTAGTGTACATTTTTGTAATGTTATAGTTGATGAAAATGCATGTTGGTGATTAAATCATACAAATACGCAATCTTAACAACTTTAAAAAAAGAACCTACATAAAAGTCAACTTTAGTGGCCTTGTACATTGCCTTTTGAAATAAGCGAACGTTGAAAAGACATGTAACGTAATCCATGTGTGATTTCTAAGGGACATACATACATAGGGTATTGGAATTGCCCTTGAGTTGATATCGACAAGATCTTTTTAATTGTGTTCCGTGGAATAAGATGGAGAGAAGAACATCTTGGTCTGGATGTTTCTAGATATTTTGGTAAAATTCTTCTTTTTATCTATTAAAAATACGTTATACGTTCACTAAATAGCATTTGATGATGGTGATGATAATAATAATGATAACTTTTAGAATTCATTATTTCATTTTCGATATTTCTTATGCCTCACTGAGTAACTGAAATTTTGACTTAATTGAGAAATTTTCTCAAGATGGACATATTGTCAAGGTTTTCTCTGCAAGAACATGCTTGAAGATACCATACAAGAAATAAGTGGCTAATTTCAGCTAATGGGACATTACATAAGTCATCCTCTTTTTAGTAAAAGTCCTTGATACATTTACATTGTACATGCACATGAAGGTCAAAGGTGTAGTTTGTGAATTGTGTTTTAGTCATAATCATGAGTCTTATCACTGTCATTGTTACTTTGCAGAGTTGCAATGATGATCACAAAACCAAATTCATGCCGAGGACTCCAACACAGAACTTCACAGTCACTGTCACTAAAACAACGGGTGAGAATATTCAATTTTCTTTGCCATTCGTTCCTTTTCACATTGTAGATCTATTATTAAAAGCCTCTTGCCTTTCAGTAACTTTATGTTTTTGTTGAGTCATTGTGACAAAAGTGTAACAGTGTCTTGGTATAGTGGTTCATTTTGTTGAGGGTTCAAATCCCAGCCTGGCACCAACGTCCTTTGGCAAGGCATTTATCCACATATTCTACTCTCCGCCCTGGAGTGATGGGGTACCTGGTAATTGCTGGGGTAATGATTATAATTATAATATTAATTGTTCCATATGCTGTATAACGGTAGTTTCTCTGAATAGTACCTAAAAAGAGGAACTAGAGTTGAAATCTAGATGAAAAACCAGGTTGATGGATCTCAGGTGGCAATCAACATAGCTGGCATGAGCGGCAGTGGTGGGGATTCCTTTTATATCGAGGTGATACAGAATAATGGCCAGCCTGACAACCAGAAGATTTAATTGAGGTTGATCCAACAAAAAAATTGGCATATGGGACTAGTAGTTTATATGAGCATCCCACACAAGAAAAAAAAAAGGCTTCAGAAAATGTTGCTTACCACCATCATACTAAACATAGTTCCAAATACTTTTAAAGGCATCGTTTGACAATGTTAAATCTGAGATACATGGCCCTACATGTTATCAGTGTCTGAGATATGGTGTAATATTGAGGCCCTACAAAAAAATGACGCTTCAAAATGATCAAGAAGTGCCTCAAAAAAAGTAAAAAAAACTTTGAGTGACCTGTTTTACCATACTCAAATTCCCCAATACATGTAGACTAGTGTTGTGAAAACTGTTTAGCAAACGCAAAATTTGGTTTCAGTTTCCAATCATAAATATCTTCATAACCAGACAGGCGATCAGCTTGTAAAAGTCATGGGGTTCCTGACTGCCCTAAAGGTTTATAATTACCATTGCAGCATGAGCTATATCCAGGATTTTGTTTCAGAATCTGAGACAAAGTTACTGGATCCCTTTAATTATTTGATTTCAGGGCCGTCATGAAGTAAAATATTAATCCCGATGAGGCTACCCTGGTTAAACAAGATGTTATGTATTCAATTCAATCAAATTCAATTCAACATTTATTGTAGATAAAAATCAAAAGATTACATCTGACATAAAATCGTCTTTGTTCAACTTTTTTCTTCTCTAGATGGTTCTCAAGGTTACTACTACCTTGGAGGATTAGAGTCATACACAAGTCCTGACAAAATTCTAGCTAAAGTCGAGGTTAACCTCGTAAGTGATGTCTCCTCAGCTGAGCTGGAAACGGACAACAACAAAGAAAACATTTTAAAGGGTAAGTTTTCAGAAGGAAAAACTAAGTTTTGTATCCTATTTAAAAGTGGAAATGTTGTAGTGGAGTGGTATAAACACTTGACTGGTGGGGTGAAGGTCGTGGGTTTGAGCTCCAGCGTGCCACTCATTTCTTTTGCCAAGATATTATTATATTTGCCACTCTCCACCACGCTGTTATATGGGTACTGGTAGGAAGGAATTTCTTGAATGCTGAGAGCACCGAAATCGGTAGCCTGGCTAGAGCCAGGGGGATTGTGGATCGCCTTGAGCGCCTTGAATGGTAAATAGAATATGTGTTTATAAAAAAATATCCAATATTATTATTATAATATCAACAACCCCTATCAATGAACTGCTGTACCTAAGTTTTCTGAATTTCTTTGGTCCCTCTTCTGTCGGTACATCAACTTTTTGTGTAAATACTGTAAGCCCCTCTGTATATCCCTTGGTCATGTTGAAAACACATTTTACTCTTTCTATACATATTAACATGTTAATCCATGAAAAATTAGAGTACAAATAATGTTTGGGTAGTGTGATGTTATCTCAATGCGAATTTCCATTGCACCATGATATTGAAATGGCAATTGAAAGTGAAATTATTTGGTAACCAAATACATGCCACGAGAAAGGAGGGGGATTATCCTGATATGGAATTTTGTACTTGTAAGGTAATGAATGCACAATATAGCCCTACAGGCTAGAAATGGAAATAAAGTTTGCTGACCATCCCCCCCCCCCCCCTCACACACACTTGCCGCTGTAGCATACCTTTAGCAACACCACACAAATTATCAAATTCTGATGTTAGTTGTCTCTCTTTTCTTTGTTCTTTTTGTTTAATTTCCAATTTTGGGGAAAATAGTAAATTCCATTCAGTGAAATTGTCCTAAAATGCTCTTGTATTTTGGTTATACCTACGACTTTTTGACCGATCGCTGTGATAGCAAACTATTTACTGATCGTTGCCTTTGCATGGATACTTTAATAGTACTGTACATGTACCTAAAGCTTAGGTCACAAAGGTTCGTACGAACGATAATTTCGTACGAATCTCCGTTTTTCCATTGTCTTCCCGAATTTCCATTGTCTGACAATCGTTCGTACAGCATTCATAGCAGTTTGTAATGGCATTTGTGACCGAGGCATTACATGCAAATTTGCTTTTCTTAAAGAATACTTTTGTTTTTTCTAAAGTATTAAATCACAATTTTTCCTCCATAGAACCAACAAACTTTGTAGGATCAATGGAACGCGGGGAATTTATCTATTTCTTCTTCCGAGAAAGAGCCATAGAGTATGAGAACATTGGGCAGATCATATATTCCCGGGTCGCTAGAGTTTGCAAGGTAAGTGATGCCCTGTATTGGTCTAGTGGATAAAGGCTTGTTCAGATATGCGGAGGTAAACTGCCGCAGCTTTTATTACATGTAAATGAATGGAAACGGTGTGCAAGAAAGGTCATACATGCATTATAGTTCTATCTTATAAGATACAGAAATGTGAAGCGTATTACGTTTAACAAGCGCGTAGCTAGGATTTTATTTTAGGGGGGGGGGGGGCGGTAGTGCGCTCCCTAGGGGAGTGGGTGCAGGGAGGGGGGAGTTTCCTCCCTTCCGTGCGAAGCGCGGAAGCTTTGAAAGAAGACGATCAGTTGTACATTTCTCGACTCTTAATCCTTGTCTGAATTCAGTTTCCCCTCCCCTCCTGCATGAAGCGCGGAAGCTTTGACGTATTAGGGACTTTTAGATTTAAACGACGAGAGCGTGGACTGCCGCATGTGACAATGTGTTAAGGCACTGGGCCGTGCCCGGCAGTGCCTTAGAAGGACGTCACATTACCTTAAAAGGATGTCACACGTGGCGGTCCCCGTTCTCGTCGTGTAAATCTAAAAGTCCCTAATATTAGACAAAGAAGACGATTTGTTGTACCGTTCTCGACTCTTAGTCCTTGTCTGAATTCTGTTTCCCCCTTCCCGCGCCGACCGTGGAAGCTTTGACATTTCATTTAAATATCAGAGAAAGAAGACGATTTGTTGTACCGTTCTCGACTCCTTTTCACTTTTTCTTCCTACGTCCTCTTACTTACGTCTTCTCTCTCCCTCTCTTTTTTTTTTGGGGGGGGGGGGGGACTGCCCCCACCGCCCCCACCTGGATACGCGCCTGACGTTTAACGTCATCGTTAAAACATACCTCGGTGGTTTACCTGGGTGTATCTGAATAAGTCACCAGACTGGATTAAATGGTTTCTGGCTTTAGCCATGACACTCACATGGTATCAATATACAGTGCGTCCCAGAAAAAAACAAAACAGAGAGTTGTCGATGTTTTATCACAACTTAATCGGTATTATAATTAATAAACGACACATATTTGTAAAGCTTAGACCCTCCTCTTTCATTTGATGCAACTCATATTATTATGCATATTTCATGCATGAGTGATTAAAAACAATTTTAAGAGAGGAAACCAAAAAGTGAATTGGTGGGCGGTATCTGAATTTCAAAGAGAATATTACATTTCTAGAAAGTTCAATTTCTGCCCTTTTATATGATGCCTCAATAGGGAAAAATGAGCCAGGACTAACAAAGTTCTGTTTGTTCAAAGTAATGCTTGCATTTCCATAATTTGATTAAACAAGTACATTTTCACTGGCTACCTGCCGTAGCAGCAACAGAGTTGACAAGAGACTTAACTTCATTTTGTTGATGATCAGCCATGCATAAAGAAGAAGAAAGACTAGATGCATGGCTGATCGTCAACGAAACGGAGTTAAGTCTTTTGTCAACTCTGATTGTTCTCGGATTTACTTTGCACTTAACAGGTGTGTTTGAGAGGCAGCAGATCCTGGACCCCTGCCCAAGGGCTTTGCTCCTTGCGTGGATGAGAGTAATTACCAGGCATGCAAGTAATTGCCATATAACTATCATTACTAATTGAAAATTTCAGATGTTGGCAGCTATGATAATGCTCCTCTCTCCTCTTCTTTTTTTCCATAGAATGATGCAGGAGGAACAACAAATCCCTTCAATGGTGAATTCACTACATTTCTTAAAACACGCTTGATGTGTTCTGTTGGTGCTGATTTCCCCTTTATCTTCAATGAAATCCGTAAGTATGTTTAATAAATCTCTTCCCACTGATGACTAATGTAATATAGAGTGGGATGACGCAGTAGACTTTTCTCCAATGTATAACCTGTGCGTAACATAAACATATACATGTACACATACACGTCCTTCCATCAATGTAGAAGTCTAGGGTTTTCCATCATCAACCATCATCATCATCATCATGATCATCATCTCCATCATCATGATCTTTGTCTTCATCATCATCATGATCGTCATCTTCATCCTGATTTTGATCATCATCATGATCAATCTTCGTCATGATAATCATCACAAAAAACAATAGCAGTGACCAGGGTGATATTGTTGGAGCGCCAGGAGCTATGTGGTGCCGGAATCTATATTCATAATACGCTTTCTTATTGTGAAAGGAGTTATCATGATTCCATAGAAGCAGCATGGATTGAACTTAAACATGAAAGTTTGATAATTTGCTATTTATATAAACCTCCAAATGCACAAGCAGAATATTTCAATCACTTTCTTGATGTATTTAATAGAATTAGGGTCAAATTAGAACAAAAAATAGTCATTCTTGGAGATGTCAATATTGATTATTTTGATTCTGGTATTTTGATTCAGGATGAGACACCAACAGTGCAGGGAAAGAGGGAATAAATGGAAAACTACCTTCTTTGATATTAGTCACAACAATGCCCCTCTTAAAACTACTAGAGTAAAAGATCATTTCTCTCCGTGGATTACATCCCAAAAGATTGAGCTTATGTTCAGGAGAGATTTTTATAAAAAGAAAGTATGATAAATTTAAACCGCTGGAAGATGTAAGCTCAGAAATGTAAAAATAAATACCTTGATGAGATCAATGTAAATATATAAACATGATCCTAAAAAAATGTGGAATGTACCGAATATTATAACTGGAAGAGGTAAAGTGATGAAGATGTCCCTGCCGGCATTGACTGTCATATATGAAAAATGATTTTTTTTTTGGTGTGTGTCTGTGGGTGTGTGTGTGTGTGTGTGTAAATGCAGGTAAAAAGAATCAATGATACAAAATAGCAAACAAGATGATATTGCCTGGAATCATCCACTATATTTATACAAATTTACTTTCACGCAAATTAAACTTGACGTTGTACTGAAATTACTTTTAATTTTTTTGTCCTGCATTAATGCCTGTATTCTTTCGATTCAAAGTTATCATGTTTAGCTGCGCCTCTTATCTACACATCTCTTACTGGTATTTTTAATATAAGTTTAATATCAGTTACAATCCCTGATAATTGGAAAATCTCTAGAACCCCTCCAATATTTGAAGGGAAGAGATCTTCATGTAAATCTGATATGACAAATAATCTCGGAAGTCTGTCATATATCTGTCATATACATTGTATCTGTCAAAATACTAATACTGTATAAAAAGCTGTTATTTTTGCGAGTGTTTTATTTTCGCAAAATTTGGTGAATTGCATATTATCGCAAATTTATCAGCACGCACAAAATATTGCCACCTAATCATTCAGGAGTGTGAAAATATCAGCATAAAATTAAGTGCTTGCAACCTCTAGATCGCCAGCGCCATTTGCCTGCTTATTGTGTAGCAGTGGTTGCATTTGCACCACTTGCATCACTCACTCTGTGATTCCACTTTCCGCAGCAAAGTGGTGAAGTTCTCATTTTTCAATAGTCTCTTACTCTTTGTAACCCTTGTCGAAATTGGAATAATTGGTATTTTAATCACCATGCATTACACCCGCACCCCTGTCTTAAAATTGATCAGCCTTCTCACTCTATGCCGGTACGGTGCTCTGCTGTATGTGGGTGGTGTGATGGGCTGCTCAAACTTGTGTGTGTACTTTAACGTGTACTGAGTCTGTGTGTGTATGTGTTGCGTGAGAAATTTTGTGAATAAGTCATGCCCATTCATTAATTCTGCTGTGAGCTACTAGTACTTAAGAGGTGTCATTCGCGAAAGCAACAACTCACAACAATTTCTCTTAGCCTGTCATTCGCAAACATACCTGTACGCGAAAATATCAGCTTATACTGTAACTAATTGGCTCAAAAGCAATTACTTGAGTACTGTATGTTCATCCATAAATGATTTTGAGTACATGTACACAAATTTATTTTTCAAATGATTTCATTCCTTCTCCTCACTCTTCAGTCTCCTTCTTTTTCTTTTTCTTTCTTTGTCTTCTTTTTCTTCTTCTTCTTCTTCTTCTTCTTCTTCTTCTTCTTCTTCTTCTTCTCCTTCTCCTTCTTCTTCTTCTTCTTCTTCTTCTTCTCCTTCTTCTCCTTCTTCTTCATTCCAAATTATGGATATTAAAGTGCCTTATACTGTATGTTTTTGTTTGTTTTGCATTATGATGTTCCTCCATGAATTTCTGTATTTCTTTGTTCTATTTGAATTGTTTTTATAATTTGATGTGTGTTCTTTAATAATCAGGACCATGATGAAAAACAGCTTTGCTGTACATGTTTTTAAAAATCCTGTATAGATGTATGTTACAATAAATAAACAAATGAATAAATAATTGAATAAATGTTTGTTTATTATTTTTTTTTTCAGAGGATGTGGTCCAATCTCCTAGTGATACAAATATAATCTATGGATTGTTCACTACCCCCAGGTAAGGAGATACTGTAAACGCTGTTATTATTTGCTTGATTAATTTTTCGCGCTGAGTGACCCCAACAAACATTTGTGGGTTCTTACATTCGCGTTGCACGAAATTCAAAACATGCATAAGAAGTCGTGCTTATATTTTCGCGAGTTCTAAAATTCGCGCTTGCAGATCTTAGCGCGAAATCCTTGAAAATTAACGTACTGCAGATCTTTCTACTTTTACAGTAGGCATGTTCGGCTTAAATAGGAGGTTAAGTTCCGGTAATGTTGGAAGATGATTTGTGAGCTTTTTCATTTCTTTATATGTTAGTTTGGGAGAAATGTCCCCTGTAAAGGACTTCCGTTCAAAAGCTCTTAAATTGTGTCCCAAGGCAGTATGCTGGAGGGATACTTTGGATTCAGCAGCGTTACGCCGCCCTGTCCACCGCTGCGTCATATTCTTGTGTGCATCGCTGTAACTGCCACATTCCTGGACGGATTTCCGTCACATTTCGTATGGAGGTGAATCTTGGTATAAGCTACACACATATAATTTTGGGTGATGCTGCCACCCGTGTTCCGTCTGTTATAGGGTCAAAGGTAATATATCGGTGGCTGTCTTTTGTGCGCTCTAAGTGCCACATTTCTTGACAGATTTCTTTCAAATTTTCTACAGAGATGCATTATACTCTAATCTACACACATATTGTTTTGGTGATGCTGCTCCTAGTCTTGACAATAGTATGAGCCACTAGTGGCGATCTCTACGTCATCCTTTTGTTTCAGTTTCAGGGAGGGAGAGGGGATCTTTGTCCCTCCTTCGAACATAACACAGATATCGCTGCCACTGCCGGGGGATACATTCGCATCGCGCGGCGATATAGATTGCAATATTTCTAGTTGAAATATAACTACTGTAGAAATGGCTGAACATTTTTGGACCGAACTGTCATTCCCTTGCCTGTGTAGTCCCATATGCCTAATTTTGTGTGCAGTGCATGTAAGATTAGCTAGAGTGAATCAATTTCTTATCATTTTGGTGATGCAAAAACCTCGCAGTAGTCCACCTTTTATGTACTACATACATGTAATGAACATGCACATGGGACTTTGTAATGTTTTTTCACTTTCTGCTTTAATACCCCCACAGTGCTGGGTCATCTTCTACTGCGATCTGTCTGTACAACATGGACGAAATTGATGTCTTGTTCAACCAAGACAATCGCAGAGGTCAGGTATCCCCAACAACGCTGTGGCAGAGTATGCCTAAACCTGCTGAGGATAAATGGGACCGTAGGAATGTAAGCTTGAGGCGAAATGAATAATATATTTGGTTAAAGAGAACTTTACTCCCTCTTCAAGTTTTCAGATTCAAAAGTCTGTTTTCTATCATGTGTGATTGTTTTATTAAAATGGCCAAACAACCGATAAAGTTATTACTCCTTATTTCATATTTCAGCCTGTACTTGTTGTGAAAGGTTATCTTGATGTCCGAAATAGTATCAAAATGATTAAATGACGGTTAAGTCCGCCCCATTTGCAAGTAGAATCTAAAATAAATAGACTAAAATATTGCTATTAAACGAACATGGTGAAAGTTTCATCAAGATAGGATGAAAAATCTGAGACTTATGGAATTATATGAAACAATGACATGTATCACACAGGCAGTATGCAAATTAGCAAGAAATATTAATGTCAATGCCTCACTATTCCCTATATTTTTGTTTTAAGTAACGTTTTTGTGATCACGTTATCTCAAAAATCAATTGATGGATTCCTGCCAAACTTGGGTCATGTATGTATCTTGCAGAGCCAATGAACTGATTAGAATTTGGGGTCACAAGGTCAGAGGTATCAGGGCTCATTATGTATGCAAAAATAGCTTGTGATTGCATTATCATTAGAACCAATGGACAGATTGCCAGCAAAGTCAGAACATGTATGTACCTTGTAAAGCCAATGAACTGATTAGATTTTGGGGTCATGAGGTCAAAGATCAAAAGTTGTAATTACGATATTCTGAGAACCAGTAAATGGATTACAATCAAACTTGAATTTTAGAAATATATTCTTTTTGGGTTTATAAAGTCGCTCTATGGCGGAGGTACAGGCCTGATAATTACCTGATTTCTTTTCTTTCTGGTTCTTCTCTTATTTTCCTGATTTTTTCCCAAGTTTTTTACTCAAAAGGGGGGGGGGGGGGGGGGCGGAATGTTGTTAGATGCCATCTATTTTTCCCTGATTCATATTTTTTTCTTTCATTCAAGGGGGGGGGGGGGGGGCAGGGTGGGGTTTTAGTGCTAATTATATACCTCACTTTAGAAATCCAGCCATCTGATTGGTCAAAATTGGAGTCGGGATTTGAGCCATTCACGTAAAATGCGAAAACCATTCAATAGTCTGTTGAAAAAAGCCCTAGGGCACTTTTCTAAAGATTATTGACCGGTTTTGGCATTTTACGTATATGCGTGCAATCTCAATGGAAAGGATTGGTAAATCGCACGTGTATTCTATGACCCTTTTCGGTATATAAAAGTTATAATGACTGCTTTAATATTCGAGACATAGTAGTTTTTATAGGCTCTCGGGGAGGTTTAATGATTGTGCTATCACCCCTCGGCACCCCTCTGGGCATTAGCATGATCATGTAACCTCCCCTTGAGCATATAAAAACAGTCTCTCATAGCAGTCATTATTACTATACTATCACCCCTGAGGTATCATTTTCAACTGCATCTACTTTTTTTTTTTTGGGGGGGGGGGGAGCACTCCTGTATACATTTTATCCTAAATATTACAATAAGTTACAGTAGTGGTGATTTTGCACATATTCTATGAGGATTCAAGCCATTTTTTACATTCTCAGAGCAGAAAAGTTATATTTTTGTTTATTTTATTTACAAAACATATAGCGAAAAAGTGAGCAGTGACCTCATACTCGCTAATTCACATACAACTTGTTCCATATCTTTCATATTTTCATCCGATTTTCATGAAATCTTCATTGTTTTGCTCTTTTTGCTTTGTTTATTCAACTCACCTTTCAAATGGGCCGGACTTGCCCTTTAATTAACCATTAAGATAGAGAATTGAGCACTTCATATTTGGCCCATTGGTTGTAACCAGGATAATAAAATGGGAGCGCTGAAGCGTCATGGTATGACATACATGCATTTACATGATTGCTTCATGTATACTACTGCTCCTGCTGTTACTACTCATACTACCACTACTAATACTACTACTACTACTACTACTGCTGCTACTACTACTAATACTACTACTACCACCACTACTACTACTACTACTACTACTACTACTACTACTACTACTACTACTGCTACTACTACTAATACTACTACTACCACCACTACTACTACTACTACTACTACTACTACTACTACAAATACTACTACTAATACTACTTCTGCTACTTACTACTAAGTGTAGTATTTGGCTTCACCTGTATCTAGTAGGGGAAAAGGAAACAGAATCACTATAACCCATTTGTTTCTCCTCCTGATATTAACTGATTGGGATGTGCAGGTGAACCACTACAACTACTTGTACTCCTACTACTACTACTACTACTACTACTACTAAACATTATTGTTGTTATATTATCATTTTTATTCAATATATTTCTTGCTGCAGTGCTCAGCACCATTCGATGTTGGAGGATATAACTATCTGGAGGATTATACTTTGCTGAACACCAACGCACCGAATTGCGGACTGGGAGAAACGTGCAATGATTACAGCCGCACAACCAATGAAGCCCTAGCTGTGTTTGAGGGCATCCGTGGCCAACAGCTGACAGTGTTCAGTGAACTATCCAACTCCGTCCTAGTCTACGTCGGCACCAGTAAGTTCTGTACTAGCAACAGGCCATGCTAATTTTTTGTTTTCAAAGTTGCTTGGCCGAACCTAGTGGCACAAAATGCTGCTACAGGAGTATATAAGAGTTACACTTGGGTTGGTTCCTCTTCATCCCTGCGCAGTCACTCATTTGCATACTGTGTCGTGGTCGAGTGGTTTAAGGCGCTTGACTGGAGATGCAAATCCCGACACGGCACTAATATCCTTTGGCAAGATATTACCTGCCCTTGCTACTCTCCACCCAGGTGTTAAATGGGTACCCGGTAGGATGCGACCGTCATTGTTGGTCAAACAGTTTTTGAGCGGCAAGTAATGCCTGGCTGGAATGCTCCCCAGGGAGTGGAGGTCGTGCACACATTGTGTGTGGGCAAGCACTGAATCCAATGACCGGGGTAATAATATATCTGTTAAGCGCTTAGAGACATTTGTATTAAGCGCTATATAAAAGCTTAATATTAATATTAATATTAATACACAAAAGGATAGGCACTAATTGACAGAAGGATTGCTTTGTGCATTAACACAGCACCTTTGCAAAATTAACTTTTTTTTCTGGTCTTGACTAGCTTCCTGAAAACTGTTTTAACCTGTGTATGAATTGAACTCTGGAAACCTTCAAATCTCTCCCATGATGAATACAACAGGCCTGATAAAAACCTGATTTAAATCGGTTTCCCGATTTTTTAAATTTTTTCCGATTTTTTCCCCGTTTTTTTTTTCTTCCCGATTTAAAAAAAAAAAAAAAAAAAAAAATCAGATTTTTTTTTTTTTTTTTTTTTTTTTATACCCAGATTTTTTTCTCTTCCCTATGTTATCCTGATTTTCCCGATTTCCTCCTTAGTTTCTCTCTTCTTCCCTATTTTGCCCCCAATTTCTTACTCGAAAGGGGGGAAGGTTGTTAGATGCCATTTTTTCCCCGCGAATCGTCTTCTTTTTTTTTTACTCAAGGGGGGTGTGGTTGAGGGGAAAACAAAAAACCTATTTTTTTTTAGTGCTCACTATCACCCCTGATACAAGGTATTCATTGTGTATACCGGTACATCTTTTTTTAAAATAATTTGTTTTGTATTACCAAAAAACAGACATGTAGAAAACTTTAAAGCTGACATTCTGAGCAAATAAATGTCCATTAATTTGCTACCTACGGCAAGCATATGTTATTTATAAGTTGTTCATTTACATAGTATATCACAAACAAATTCTGACTACTCGATATCCTCAATTGAAATGTCGAAAGTAGCCTCCTCTCTATGCATATAAAATCAGTCACGGAGCTGGTCCACTATTTGTGACATCACGCCCGGGAAAGAGTAATGCTAATAATAATATTGGATTCTTATATAGCTCACGTATCGACCTTGCAAGGTCTTCAAGGCGCTCCAACATTACCCGGCTATGCTAGGCTGTCGATCTCGACGCTCACAGCATTTTAAGGAATTTCTTCCTACCGGTACCCATTTAACACCGGGGTGGGGAGTGACAAATGTACTAGATCAATGTCTTGCCAAAGGACATTATTGCCCAGATGTTCCATAGAAAAGCATTTGCAGAGAGATAAGATTTTCTGCTTATTTTGTTTCGAAGGCTGATAAATCCAATAAAGTCCAATAAATCATAGTTATATGTACAATTCTTTACCTTCCCCCACTATTTTATGGTATTAATATCAATTCCCCTTTTAAGATTTATGACATATACATGCCACCGATGTGCTATTAGTCAATATTTTCACCATTTAATTTTGTTTGTGTGTTGAAATCCTGGCCCCCCACTCAGTGTTTATTTAGGGTACGCGTATGCATGTTCCCTCCTTCTGAAAACAACCCCCTCAGTCCGATGTGTAAAGTCAATACGGGCCGATTTTTGTGTGTTAAAAGCCGATTTTGCTGCGTGAAAAGTACCCCTTTAGCGGACATTTTTGGAACATGCATGCGGTCCCCCTGGGGTTGAAATCCATTTGGTGAGATTGTGCGTGTACGTGCTAGCTAGTTAGCTCGGTATGTAACGTTGATCCGGTCGTTTGCATTTATACTTTTCGCGTTTAGTCTGTTTGCTGTAGCAATAGCTTCATACAGGTACAAATTGACCCCCCCCCCCCCCCTAGTTAACATAGGGTTAAAACAATGAATTTGAACTTGATTCCCCCATCCTCTTTTCAGATAATAATACAATCTATGGAGCAAACATCAGTGCGTCTGAGGTCTTGATCACAAGGCAGATGGAAATCAAGGCTGACATAGATTCGGTTACCGCAACACAGGTATGTTACACATGGTGAAACCCATGAGGGTTAGGTCTAAAGTCTGGAACGCAAAATGCATAATGATGACGATTAAAATAATAATAATTGGATATACGTATATAGTTCATTTAGATGCTGCTTGTAAGTATCGGCTTGCATGGTGATGTAGATATACAGTAGGCTTGCAGGTGCACTATGTGAGAGAGAGAGGGAGGACTGAGGAGTCCTAAAAGGGACTCTCGGTAATCTTTCTTGAGGGTGTGTAGTCATGAAAAGGACTGTTGGTGTAATCTTGAAAAAGACTGTTGGTCATCTTTCTTAGCTTATAGTTCTACGTCTATGCTGGTACTCGTCAAAAGCCTTTTCAGCAACTAAACGAGGATATTGTGGTGTGGTGTCTCTCATAGTGGTCATGATTGATTAGTGCATAGTGCGTATATACAAGTTGTGCAAGTAAAAACAGTTCCTCCTATGATAGGCACTGATGGCTCCCTTGAACTTCTCCACAGAGGGCAGTTCAATGAAGTTGGTAGGGAGCTCATCCCAGTCCCGGAGTGTTCTTGGGAAGAAACTTTGCCTGTAGCTGTCAGAGTTGGAGCTGGGTCTCATGAATCTGTGTCGGTGTTGCTGACGTGTTGAACGGAGTCTTGGTTGGATGTAGTCTGGAATTGGTACTGCGACTAGGTGGTTGATGGCTTTGTAAAGCATGGTTAATCGGGCTTGCCTGCGTCTCTCCTCTAAGGGTTGGAGTGCTAGATCTTCTCTCATTTTGGTGACGCTGGCATCTCGTTGGTAGTTTCCGCATATGAAGCGTACTGCCCTTCTTTGGATTTTCTTAAGCTGGTCAATCTGATTTTGTCTGTATGGATCTCAGACGACGGAGGCATATTCTAGCTGGGAGCGTACCAAGGAGATGTAGGCCTGTTGTTTAATATGCGATGAGCATTTGCTGATGTTTCTTCTTAGGAATCCCAAGGTTCTTCCTGCTTTTGCTGCAACGGCATTGATATGAGGCTTCCAGGATGGAGAGGATGGGTGGCGGGAGTGGCTCAACGTTTCGAACAGGTTGACTATCTGTCATCAGGAGTGGAGAATAGCTGGCGTGCGTGAGCTTAAGTCAACAGGGTGCGGACGTGGGGGAAATATACATGACCGTGAGGGCTTGAGTCATCGGGGAGTGGACATGGGTAATCTGCTTGTCCGTCTGGGCTGGAGTCTCCGGGTTGTGGACTTGGGAGAGTTTCGAATCCATGAGTGGGGTGTGCTGACGGTGAGACGCTGTGTGTGTCCCTGACATAGGCGGTGTTGTAGTCTGCTGTCGTCTGCTGTGCATTGTAGCTGTGAGGCTGGCGGCTGCTTTGAGGGTTCGGCGGGTGGCGGTGGTTGATGTACGGGTGTCTGCAGGGGTGGTGAAGGCTTGGTGGTGGAGGAGGAGTGACCGGGTACTTGTTCATGAGGGGTTTCCAGATGTCGTTGATGTATAATCCTGAGTCTTGGGGCACGGTGTTGTGGCGGTGAATTTTGGCGGCTTCTCAGATTCTGCGTGTATGCCAGTGTTTCATTGTGGAGATGAGATGACTGTCCCATTCCATGATGTGTTCGTGTTGCTAGGCGTGTTTGAGGATGGCGGACTTATCCAAATCGCTGAGTCTCAAGCTGGTTCTGTGCTCCTTGAGTCTTGTTTCCAGATTTCTCCCCGTTTCATCGATGTAGACTTTTCCACATTCGCGTGGTATTTTGTAGACTCCTGCTTTCTTGTGGTTTGGATGCTTGTCTTTGTGGGAGTGGAGCATCGAATGGAGTTTGTTGGAGGAACTGTGTTGAACTTGGATGTCTGCTGCTTGAAAGATACGTTGAATCTTATGAGAGGCTTGACCGATAAAACAACAGTTTGTTTCGGTGGTGTTGCTGCGTGTTGGCTCTATTCAGGGATGGTGATGGCTGCAGGCTTGCTGGCGGGAGTTCCGGACTTTTCCGGACTCTTATGTCTTGGGTATTTGTTGATGGTAGTTAGGGCTGTGGTGACATGCTGGATTTCCTGGTCGAGATGGTCAGCATCCAGAGGTTGGCAGGTCTGCTCTGACTGGACACCACAGTTTATCTTCTGAAATGGAAGAAAAGGACTGTATGGTGGGGAGAACAATCTCCAAGGGCTGGGACAATTGGCGTTGGTTTTCGGCTAAGAATTGTGCATGGGGTAGAAGCCTCACTTTGTTGTTCTCCCGGCGTATGTGACCTGAGCTGGTGGTAAGTGCGTGGAAGGAGGTTCACCAGAAGCTGTTGACAGGAGAAAAACTGTCTTGATCGTAAGGTCTTTAAGAGAAGCTTTATACTCTCAGCTGAAAACCAGGGTGACTGGTCCTGGGTGGATGGTTCCCGGTATCTGGGAGTGTGTTGCTTATCGGTGTGCTAGTGTCGATAGGTTGAGCTTGAGGGGGCAGATAGCTTGTACACTGTCTTGTCTGCTGTATTTGATGCAGTGAACAAGGATTCCAGCATCTTCACATATCACAGGGTGTTTTTGAAGGAGAGCTGCAGCATTTTTCTCTATTTGGAAATGATCAAGAACAAGTGATCTCTGAAGGATGGTCATTCTCGTCGCCTGGGTTCCGCAATCTGCAGTAGCAGGTCTGAGATAAGCTTACGATCTTCAGGTGAGATATTGAGTTTGCCTGCCTCACTTTGGGTACCGGGTAAATAAGTTTGATAAGCCTCGAGTCTCATTGAGCCCCGGGCTGCTGAGTCGACCGTGTGTAACTGTGATTCCATCATGTTAAATTTGGGGAATGGAGGGGGCTTATAAAGCCTTGATGCTGATCTTTTTGCCCTGGCGTCCCCCACTCGGATAGCAGCTTCTGGTATTAGGACGGGGCAGGTTGCAGTATGGTCCCTCTACCACTCAGACTGTTAATGCAAGATATGAAGGGGGCATCAAGCTTGATGCCGGCACACGATTTTGCTCGTTTGCCACTACTTAGGTGAGAATCCAAACAGAAGATTGCTTTAGGAACATTTTGCTGCTGTTCTGCTAGTTGTGCCTTCAGCTGGGGGCAGTTCCGTTGGTTGAAGCAGCTTAATATTAACCTCATCTGTGTCCTTGGGGGGAGGGGGAAACCCTGAACACTTTCACCCGACAGAGAGACAGAGTCACTGGCATTGTATGGAACAGAAGAGGTAGCTCGCTTTCTGCTAGTGCCAGGATAATCAATGTCGCAGAATGTCGAGGAAGAGGCCGAGTCCTTCTATTTCCTGGAGCTGGCCGTAGGTCGATGGTAGCTCAGTTCATAGCTAGACTCGTCATCTAGCTGAATAGAGGTGGCATAACGTGCTATTCCAGGTCGAAAGGATCGAGGAGGGGTAGAGCTAGGGTCTCAGTTTCAGCATGAGTGACCGCCCGGCTGAGTCCCCGGTGAATTCTGGCGGGTCACCATGTGAAGAAATGTATGGCCTGTCGGGCTGGGTTGCCGTCGCTGGTGCAGTGGGTCGTGATTTTGGTACTGTGAAACTCCAAGCAATGGGCTGATTTCTGGACTGAAAAGCCACCTGAAGAGTCTGAAAAAGCCCGCTCGCTGTAGAGGGATCCATGGACATGGTTGGTTGTCTGGGCAATTCTGTTTACGTATTTCTTTCAGAAAATGCGACAGTTTCCTCATATAATTCTTCCTCCGTTATCACGTTTAGCGGGAAATTGCTTGATTGATTTTGGGCAACAACCTCGTCTTCAGCGGGGTTCACAAGTGCCGTAACCTCCATCCCCAGCCGGCTGCTTGTTTTATTTTCATCGTCCCTAGGGACGAGGTGCTAATTTTCGGGAAGATATTTGTGGGGGGGGGGGGATTTCGTGGGAGGAGGCACAGTTTTCACTCCACTCTCACTCCCGATCAGAGATCAGCTCATGGGATTTTGGCTTTGATATCCCCGGGCTAACACATGCGTTCTTGGGATTTGTTTTAGTGTTGGTCTGTCTCTTTTGGACTTTGTGATTGTCTTTTTCACATTGGATGGGGTTTTCTTCCCCTTCTCACTCTTTGGGATGTCCGTCACGTCCATGACCTATCCCTGATAGTGTTTGAAAGTGTAGACATCGTCTTAATTGAAAAGCCGGTGAAAAAACAATAAGATTTGCGGGCACGCCTGATTACATTTGGTATGTACTCTGAGCAGGCGCCCGCAAAGGAAGTGATATTAGGCGCGGGGCGTTATATACTACTGACCGTCTGGGTTTCCTACATCTCACTAAGCTCCATGTAGCTAAGAGAGGATTTCACAAGTCTAACCTATTAAGTGTTCAGTTAAATATGTAGATACAGAGGGCAAATGGGAGGGCAAATGGGAGGGCCCTCGCAAGAAACAGAGTTTTTGTTTGATTGATCGCACTTTCAGAAATTCATAACTTTCTTATTTTTAGCCAGTTTTTTCTTTAAGTTTCACTTATCTGATACTCTCAGTTTTCTGCTTCTATTATAACCAACAAGGTAACCAACTCAATATCAGGGTAGACTTCCCCTTCAAGTACTGGTACATGTATAATATACATGTAAAGAGGAGGTGAGTTGGCTTAGTCTGTATTAAAGCGTCTGCCTGTGGAACCAAAGATCGGTTTGAATACAACCCAGGTGGACGACTGAAGCCTGTTAACGTGCCCCTCCGTTTCATAGATGCAGACTAGGTTGCAGTTGAAAACGCTCTGTCCCTCAGATAAGACGTTAAATGGAGGCCCAGTGTAGAGGAGAATCATCACCTTTGCATGTTTTGAACCCACTGCAATTTTCTTTTAAGAGGAGGTGGTAACCCTAGTGCAGTGGCTCACCTACACAACCCCAATCAGTTATACCGGGAGGAGAGACCCGAAGGTTACAGTGATTCAGGCCACTTTTCCCCACCAGGCAGAGGTGATTCCAAATACTTAATAAAAACAATAATTTAAATTATAATTATCAATATTGCTTTTCATTATCATTTCATTCCAATCATCACAGATAGCAAACAAGTGGCCGTTTGGAGTCAGTTATCTTGAGGCAAACGACGGGGTTATCTATGGAACTCTGGACAATTGTGCTTTTCGATTTAATCCCGATATCAGAGAAGGTAAATCAAGTAAATACAACCAAAACCTAGAATTCCCAAGGGAGGTAAGGAAAGTGGTCTTTATAGGCAGGTGGTCTTTCTCAGTTTCATACAATGTAGTTTTTTTGCAGTACATAGCCTTCCATTATGTTGTTTCATTACTTTGTTTCTAATATTTGATACATATCCCTGAATGTTTGTCTCACCTGCATAGCAAAAGCGAGACATAGGCACCGCTTCCGGTGACGGCAGCAGCGGCGGCGTCAACATCAAAAACTTAACCTGAGTTTAAGTTTTTGAATTTTTAATATTATTTTGAAAGTATAAGTTCTTATTCAATGTAACTTACACTAAAAGTATCCCCAATCATGTGAGTAGAATTTCAGGTCACTAAGTCAGGGTCATTTCAGGTCAACAACTTTTACTATGTTGTGGCATCAACATCAAAAACTTTTTTGAATAAGAATAATTTTGAAAGCATTATAGAGATATAAAGACTGCTTTGAGAGGCCCAGATGTTCAAACACATAAACCAATGGGTATCGCAGCCAAATTTTACTATTTTCATGGTAACCAGAATTTTGAGGGATCTCATTCTTGGACTATTAACCGTTTATGTCATTTTACGTTTCTTTACGGGAATGGCGTATATCACGACTCCAGTTTCGACCAATCAGATGGTTGGATTTCTAAAGAAAGGAATATAAACATTCCTATTCCATGAAACTTGAACATAAGGGTTATCAATGCTGCTTGTAAGTGTCGGCTTGTCAGTAGACTTGGATTATGTTTTCACAACTTAATATGAGAATTGTAAATCAACTTTTGTTATTTGTTCATATTTCATGAAAGTTATCAATCTTGGTGCAAATAATAGTAAATAATTTTTCTGATGACTCTTAGTCAATATTTATTTCAAAATGCTGATTATATTCAGAGGATTTCATTTTGGGGGTCTGCTTATGGGCCACCCTGCCTATATAAATAATGTCCCAACCTCAATTTTTCATCATATCGAATTGCATAATGCAGGTGAGACCGCCAAGAGCGTTTTTCTTGTTATATCCTCTCTCTCTCTTTCTCCATCACACACAGTAAACTCACATTTACATGTTTGCTCGCTAGGTGCCTCGTCTGTTCCAGACATTTGCATCAATGCTTTCAATATACTTCTATCTCTGGTACATTGTAATGTGATGTTACTTCTGTTACCAGTCAGCACAATGAACTTATCCATGTACTTGATGCGTTGTCTCTCTCTACTTCTCTTTCCCTCAATTTGTCTCTGTCAGTATCCTGTTTTCTGTGCATTCTCTTCCCATAGTAGGCCCAACAAACCAAATTTTTCTCTTCTTATGATGTTAACCCTAAAAACACAGGCTATTTGAACCTTTAAAACACTGGGGGGGGGGGTTTCTAAAAGGGCACCCCCCCCCTAAGATCTTGGCAACCAAAACTCTGGTCGACTCAAATTTGCCATGGTGATAGAAGTCCATAAGATCCACAATATTGTATAGTTAAAATATTTGTTTTAAATTAGAATATGCTACATGTATTAGAGCTAATTAATAACCGGTATGCAAAAAATGTTTTTTTTTAGTATTTTTCTTTATATATGGTGATTCTTATGGGGAAAAAAACTGTTCATGGTACGATATACATGCTAAGATTATATTTACAAAATCTCTGATTAAAAAATAAGGTTATTGATATGATAATTATCCAACTTATGAATAATTATGATGTCATATTCTATCATGAACACATGTTTTTGGTGATAATTTCATGTGAAGTCGTGAAAGACATGTTTACTTCCTTACACTGTATGTTGGAGTGCTGGGGAGTGGTTCAGAAAGACTAAGATCGACTTTAAGTTGGACTTAACTATGCCAGGCAGTTTATGCCACTGTTTGTTTTCACCATTATGATCTTTAGATAGTATTCTTTCCTTCAATAATGAATTATCAAAAAATGTAAGTTCTGTAGATTTGTGACCATGATTTGTACGTCCCTTCAGAGACCAATGCCAGTAAATGGTGAGAGCAAACAGTGGCATGAACGGCCTTCCATAGTTTAGTCCAACTTAAAATTGATCTTAGTCTTTGTGAAACATCCCCCCTGATTTATTTGTCTTTTGTATAGTTTGTCATTTGATCAATATGATGCATACATTGTTGTAATTACTTATTGTAATTAGTACTAGTTAATTATGCAAATATGAAAGTTTGAAAAATTTTCACTTTTTTCCACTTATTTTTATTTTCAATTGACATAATCATGTACACATGAATTAACTGTATTACACTTACAGTTCATGTGAAAAGATGGGTATAAAACTGCAAGATAAAAGGTGCATCAAAAAAACCTCTGTATGATATATGGAAGAATTAAAACAAACAACAAATATAATAAAAACTAAATTCAGTGACACACGATCACACCCAGACTGTTGACCCGGTTTGCGCAAATTTGGTATCAAAAGATGCGCAAGACTCTAAGGAAAAAAGTCATGAAGTGGCAACGTAAAATATGTAAACATTACAAAGTAATCATGAAAATAGAGGGGTGGAGGCCTGAATCAGCCCCCACCTCTTCCAGTCTTTTTAGGGTTAAGTTTGTCTATCGGACTTTCGGTCAAAGGAAGTTTGACCTTGGTCCCTCAGGCATAGATTTGAGCTGTCACTCAGTGACCAAGTGACTATAGAGAGATGGCTATTTCTTTCATGTCATTATGCATCTGTCTTCATCCTGCAGATTTGAAGATCCTTGATCGATCACCAAATGTGGACAATTTCACCTTCCCTACCATGGTTAGTGATGCCAAAATCCAAATCTTCAAACTCTTCGAAGGACCCGATGGCTCTGATATAAATGCAACCTTCTCGGGGGGATTGGAGAATCACGATTGCAGTCAGCAAGTCCTGAAGTCCACCGGGGCAGGAAAGAGGGAATTCCTACATGTCCTTTGTGAGATAGAGGCCCTCAGCAAGAATATTGATGGCATTATCACCGTTTCCAGCCCCATGGAAAGCATCAGTGACCTCAAGGTTACTGTAATCGTTGTTAAAGACGATTCAGGTTAGTTTCTTTGTATTTTACTTGATACTGTATTTGTAGGGTGTTGTTAGATGATGTGTCAAATGCAAAAATGCAATCATCACCAACAGTAGAACAATTCAAACAGAGTTTGAAGACTAAAATTAAATGCTTTCTTGTACTCAGACTGACACTCCTGGCAACTTGCATATATTAGATACGAAGGCTTACCCAGGGAGGGTATTTCAAAGTGCTCTGTATCCAGTGGAGAGTTTTTATATAATAATAATAATAATAATAGTGCCTACTTGTAAAGCGCACAGGTCCACCTTTCGGTGCTCATGGCAACTCTTATTATCATTCTACCTTTTACTAGTAATATATATATATATATATATATATATATATATACCGCATACAAAGATTCTTAGCCTCTGATTGGCCAAAACTGCAGGCATAAAAATTTGCTACTGAATGCTGGCTAGTATTGAGTTGTCATAGTACTACTTGCATGCACTTTGCAAAGTTAGACAGACGCAGTGCTCTTTGGCAGGTAAAATTTTAATTGACTCTTCAAAGAAATTCAAATAAGTACATTTTCACAGGCATATTTTGTTAAAATATCTCTTTTGGAATTTGACACTGTGGATGCCGTAATGAAATGAATATTGCCTGCTTATTAATACTACAGCTTCTTGGTGATCTTCAGACCGCACTATGCACAGTTCAGGGTACAGTCTCGAGATCACCTTGGGCAGTGTTTTAACAGTGCCCCTCAAAGCATGTGTATTTGTATAATGTACAATATTAAAAAGCTCTTACAGATACAAAGTTGAGATTGGTCCAAAGCATGTCACATGATATCGATTGCGAGGATAGTAATTTGCATATTTGATCTTGTCACTTTTCGATGTTATATTGACCACCCAGACAAATGAGTATATTTTGCGTCATACCATATCCATGCAACCCTGCAAGCACTAGCGCGTACCTGTTGTTTGCATTGTCTCAGCCACATGCATTTGAACTTGAAGGCTGGACAGCTTGGGCTCAAGACACAAAGAGGGCACAAGATCGCAATCATCCTCGATTTTATATAACAAAATGTAATCATTGTACAAACTCTTTCTGATGTAACAGATATTGAATGGTAGGATGTGTAATGTAATATTTTTGGACTGCACAGGAGTTACATTTTCCCTTAACGGTTTTTTGAAAATTTATATACCCCCTGGGGAAAATATAACTTCCTTTTGCAGTCCAAAAAATGTTATATTTAATAAACACCCTCCTTGTCAATCTGTATATTATTCGTCCATCATTTAGATGTAGCTGTTTGGGGAGTTTAAAATTTCTGTAACATGTTTTCATATACAGAACTGACATTTTGTAGGACTAAAAAAAAGTTGCTTTCATCTGTGCATGTGACGTGTACATGTCAACAGTAATTAATTCGGTCATTACATTTTGCCACTCTATTAAGAATTTCAATCTCTCTTCTGAATATCAAAATATACAGTGTATTTTGTTTTTTGTTCCTGCCCTACAATCGCGAACTCCCTACCAGTACACAATGCCACAAGATTTTGGAGACCTTTCTTAATTATTATATTACTTCCCCCCTTTATACATGTAGGAGTAGCAGAAGTGGACCCTGAGGAAGTTAACAAGTATGACAAAGATATGGCTGAGTATAGATACAGTTTCCGCCAGTGGCTAGGTAATCATGTGGTAAGTAAGAATTAATTTGTTTTCTTTGTCCCTGTTAGATTATCCAACACATATTAAATATCATTGTTCTAAAGTGTACCAATCACTCAAAATATATTGCTCTGGATGTTGAGGGTTCATTGAGCTTCAAATATTACTGCAATAAATTTGAAGTTCAATACACTCTCAATTAATGTTAAAGTGACTTGTATTAAAGTAGACTAGTCACTGCTCCTGTACGTAAATATTAATAATTGAATGATACACGCCAATAAAACTAAAACAACAACAACAATGGCTCACATACATTGTAGAGTATAGCCTACATGAAACCTGAGCCCGATATGGAATTGTGCACAGGGTTTTATGGCTGTTAAGTGTTTAGCCCATAAAATGTAGGAAATTTTTTTGAGGTTAACTTTATACATTCTGACTTTCAAAACATTTTTTAAGGTGATTCGTACTCTCAGGTTCACAGCCATCACCTTGTTTAACATTTCTTTAATTTATTGGCATTATATATTATTATTATCATTTTTACCGGTGTAATCGTCATTCTTGGTGACATCATCATTATCCTCATAAATCTCATCGTAATTATCATCATGAAAACCGTCATTGGTATAATCTCCGTCGTCATCACCACTGCCACCATTTATCCACCATTACCATTAGTAATCATCGTCATCAATAACCATCTTCCTCTTAATTTTTTGTTAGAGTGACAGAAAAACTGGCAAGAAGTTTAATGAACTGTCAAATGGCAATGTTCAAATATTGTGAGGTTTTTTAAGACAATACCATTCTACCGGTACTTGTATTTTCTATAAAAATGATCAGTCTAGTTGAAAATCACATGCTTCAATAAAAAGCATTAAGACTGGTACATGTACATGTATGTGTGCATTGGTCTTGAAAGTACTCTTCCATGCAACCCATCAAATATTCCATTTTCCTTTTGAGTACCGGTAATAGGTGTAAGAGTGCTCAGAAAGTATTTTTTTCTCACATTACATTGCACTACATGTATGTCAATTCTTCCTCATGGAAATGAAAATAATAGTCTAAAGCAAAAAGTGACTATATTTTGCTTTGACCAGCAATGAGCATTGGTCTGAATCACATTTTGGTTAAAGATAAACTCCAGTTCTGGTAAAAAAAAAAAAAAAATTAATTCTCACAGAATCGAACAAAACTTACACTGAATGTTCAAGATTACAAATAAATGACATGTGCCAAACAATTTTGGAAGAAAATGTATACTGGCTGAGTAATGAGCATAGAAAGACAAGGAAATCAAGGTAGTACTTGCCCCGACACCATGTGCGTTGTCCCATATATAACTTTCTGTGTACAGTGCTTGTTACTTTACCAAGACTCGGTCAAATTTATTATGATTTTGATGACTCCAGAACCTTGCAGTGCATACCAATACTTACTGTACATGCTACATGATCAACTATTTCTGATCCTTTCCACACCTTTTCTTTCACAATCATGCAATCGCATTACCAGTACTAAAGTTTATCTTTAATATTGAAGCAGAAACTATAATCCCCCAAACTTTTGCAAATTTCGCACCTGTATGTTATGTAGGTATGTAATATTATATACACGTACTATGTATTGCTCGTCATACCATTGAATGCACAGAAACCAGCAATCAATCAGCATCCATATATCTTTATACATGTTTTATTTTCAAAACTAGTAATAGCATTATCTAAAGATTTTTTAGACATAGAAGATAAAAGTGATATACCGGTACATATACCCGGTACAGATTTTTTAGATTGACTTACGCTGTTTGAAAATGAAGTCTTATGTAGTATGAACAAACATATAAACACATATGTCTTCTTGGTTGCTATATATTCTTTGTTTTGTTTTTATTTCTGCATTTTCAAAATAGAACATAATCATATACATAAAGTAACTATTATTTCTTCATTATACATAATCATACATTTTTAAGTACATTAAATAAGATGCATACAAACACAAATATTTTTCAATGAAAAAAGATAAATTACAGAAAACGCAGGAGACCACCATATGATTTATATATGATATTTCAGTACAAAGTACACAAAAAAAGCCAAAGTCAGGCAATGGCTGCAATGCATTATAATAAAAAGAATTATTGATTGATTGATCGATCTGGTTCAGATCGGCTTTGCAAAAGTTTGCGATAGTCGCAAAATAGAATAATTGTGACTCAAAATTTGTGCAATTCACAGAAATTAGTTGCAATGAAAACTTACGTCAACTTTTAAACAATCCATATGTATTTTATAAGGAAAGCTTTGTTATGTTTTTCTCACAGAATTGCCCTGATGGAATTAAGGATACCTGCCCAGCTGCCAGTTCTCCAGGGTGTTTGTAAGCACTGTGTTGCAGAGGCGTCAAAATATTCTGTGGCGAGTTTACAAGTCAACTCATTACAAATCACTCTTGCAGTGAAATGTGAATGAAAAGTGGTTCTTCAAATACTTAATTCTTTGTATGCATCTTGGTATACTAGTGCTGTATTAATCTTTCTTTTTTTAAAACCTGATACTAAAAGGTTTAGTATGCAAAGTGCTGGGGCAATTGTCCTGCTTTCCGACACTTGATCTTGATGATAGAACCCTGGTGTACATGCATTCCCATGTACAGTTACCAACTAAATTATTCATGCTCTTTTTTGATACCAAGTTATGTAAAAATTTTATTGTGAATTATTGATTTGTCCCAATTTATGTTTCTTGAGAATATGACATGTAAAGTTTACATCTAAGAGTAATCAAGAAAGGCTCTTATTCAACCAGTCTACCTTTCATTCTTGAGTTACGAAAAACACAAAAAATATCAATTTTACCAGAAGTACCGGTATGAATATTTAGTCGTTAGCTGTACAAGTAATACAGGTAAATGCCTAGGGTGGAGTGTCCTAACATTTTGCCATTTGATATTAGGGTCTGAATGTCTGAATTGGTTCTTCTTATCATGCTATCTCCAGAAGAAAAGTTGTTTTTTCTTACATTCATCATAATCATTGGCATAATCATTATTAAATACAATTAGAAGTTCTCTCATTTAGAAATCACCTGTTAAAGATAAACTTGAGTTCTGGTAAATAAATAAAATAAATTCTTACAGAATCCAATGAAAATTACACTGAATGTTCAAAATTACATGTGCCATAACAATTTTGGTAGAAAATGTATAGTGGCTGAGTAATGAGCATAGAAAATAAAGGAAATCTGGGTATTAGTAGGCCCGACACCATATGCTAAACACAGGTCACTATGTGCCAATGGGAGTTGTGGTTTTTATCGCCCGATAATTTCTTTGTAAGTGTTTTTATTTCACTGGTTTAAACAACTAATTAACTGCAGGATAAGTAATCCAGAATAAATGATAGTAATTTTCTCTCAAAATACGATTCCCATACCAGAGCCCAAGATTAGCTTTAAGACCAAGAAGGGTTTTAACTCATTACCTACAGAGCTAATGTACTTCTGGCTCTGATCAGACTACATACGGAACTGATCCAAATGTGTGCTATTGCTACTCAATATGTAAGATATGTGATTTTTATATTGAAAGATTGAATGATATGATCTGTGGCAAGAGGGGCAAAGCCTTTTTTATTCCTTGCCTTGTGCACTTTTTTTGTCTTGTAAATTAGGTATATGTATAGTAACTTGAATCAGTTCACTTCTCGAAAAAGCACATTATGCGGTCAATCCTACTTTAGTGACCACCTGTATAGAAAGACCACCTGTCTATGAAGACCACATTTCTTGTATCTCTAGAACATGATTTTCATTGATACTTGTTAAAGATCACCTACCTATAAAGACCATTTTCTTGTTTCTCCCTTGGATGGTCTTTTTATACAGGTTTCACTGTATTGAAACTGCAACAAGGTTACAAGCCGCTATTATAAAGTCCATATTGATTTTTACGGGGGGGGGGGGGGTACATAATTGTTTGATAATGTTTTCACTGGTGTTTGTAATCAAATATCTTTAGTGCAACATCACACACGGGTGATAAATCCAAAAGAAATTTAGGCAATATTTGTACAAGAATGTTACCTTAGTTTATATGATTTTGAGCAGCATATGATCAAAATCAGGCCTCTGAGCTGTGCAATTAAACAGGCATAGTTTGCCCCCTTCTCCTTGACAACGATGATATTGGACAAAATTTCCTAATGTCTTTAATACGGGAAATTCACCCAATTAGTGGTTAGTGGGCACTAATCCTTTTTTTTTTGCCCTCAAAAAATTGCACCCCCCCCCTTGGACACCAGAGGAGGGGGCCCGTCTCCAAATAAAGGTAAAATTAACATGTTTTTACTTTTTTTTTTGCCCTGGGATGTGGTCCCCCCCCCCCCCTTGGATCCGCCACTGTGCATGCCTCTTGATTTATCTACTTAACTTTGGAAGAATCAATGCAATTCTTTCAACTAATTTATTCAGGTATGCCTCAGTTTAATTCATGATTAACATGACATTTAGATTCTTTTTCAAAATAATACATATCCCATGCTAGTAAATATATATATATAAAATATGTATACATCACAATAATTGCATGCAAGGAAGATGGCATAGTACACCAGCTGTTCAGTAGAGTTTTCAGTCATTTCATTATGAGCTAATGCAATATGGATGCCACAGATAGATAGCTCAATCTGTCTGCTCGACCTGACCAGTCGCTTGATTTACTTTAAAATTTGCCAAAATAACGTGACTTTTACAATGGGAAGGTTAGTAAATCGTATCTACAAACAAGTATTGCAAACCACCAAAAACCCTTTCTAAATCTTTTCTTGACAGCCTGCCTCAGTAACTAGCAGCTGGCCTAAATATAGAATCAGGGTGCTCCAAATTTAGTGAGAGTTCAATGACCTCTAGCACGAGTTATCCGTCAGCTTGAATAAAAGCTATTAATCTTTAGAGAGGTTGTCTCCGCTTAATGAATTCATATATGTTAATTATATTGTCGTAGTCTAATTATTGGGGGGGGGGTGCTTGTCAGGTTGCAGATCGAACACCATGAAGCCAAACAACTAGGGTTTTGTCTTGGGGAATTCACCTTCATCATTCATTTTACTGAAGAAGATCATCATTATGAAACAAAAATAAAAAGATTCAGACGTCATGTAAAAATTTTAGACCTAGTCCATTGATAATTGGTCTTAGTTATAGTGTCAATGATTAATCATAATCCACCTTTAAACAAATAATCTGGAGGCCCCTTTCATGTGGGCATCAGGGCCCCGGCCTCCCGTTCAGTTACCAGTAATCACTCATGATTCACTGAATGAGGCCATAACTCTTTTCAAATCATGAACAAACATTCACATTCTTGCAGTTCTATCTCATGAATCTGCTTGGCCCAATTTGAACTTGTCATGTCATGGCATATTAAGAAAGCTCATAATTTATAAATAGAAAAGTTAGCCCTCTCCTAAAATAAAGGCCAGAGGTCTACATCTAACTTAGATACTAACAAATTGAAAGTTGGCCTAATCTAGATGTCAACACAGCCTGTAATGTAGATATTATAATGCCCTAACCGTTAGAGCCTATAATTTAACGTTAGACTAAAGTAAGATTGCCTCTTGTTTTTAATCTCCCGGCTAAATCATATGAGCTTTATAAAAGAGAACAAGGTGAAAAGAAAATTCACTGCATTAATTGTACTGCATGTAGGCCTACCGGTATATGTCTCTAAGTCTAAAGATTTAATCTGGTCCTAATTTGTTAGTGTTGGCTTTAAATTTTCTTGTGACCCAAATCTGAAAGTAGTTAATCATCAGTTGGACCTAAAACTTGGAACAAAGAAAAAAATTGCATTATTTCGTTATTGCACAACCATACCCCACAATACCTCTGTAGTCTATTATCTAAACATAATGTCGCTTATTGTACTCGATATACCCTTTCTTGCCAATTATACCTACCGGAACCAAGACCTGAATATAAGAAATCTCCTTCTCATATATACTGGAAGCAAACTTTTTAATTCACTACCAATGCATGTTCAAATATTATCCACATTACTAAAAACCGCCTACGGCAGTGGTGGATCTAAGGGGGGGGGGGGGGGGGGGGGAGCGAATTATCGGCCAGCTATTTCGCTGCTAAATATTTTCTCACAAATTGGGCCCCCGCCCCTGGCCTACGGCAACACCAGTCTACAATTTAATCGCGCAATAACTAAAGCCAATTGATTTTATTTGATATTACAAAGTATTATTTGAAGTTGTCATGCCTCTGTTGTACATTTATGCTTTAATTGCCATATTATTTATGTATTTATCTGTTTGTTTTTATGTTGTGTTTTAACTTTATACATTGTAATATCGATTTGATATACTAGGGCCCCTTGTAAAGCAGGCCCTGTGGCACTGGATGGGGCCGCTACTTTATGTTTTTAAAGAATACTGAATAAATAAATGAATAAAATAAATAAAAAACAATAAGGTTGACTAATTTATACAGTGAAGTGATCTACTCGTATCTAATTTTCAGAGATAGTCTCACCCGGAAGTCTGCCGTCGAGCTGTCAGCTAGAAGTGACTGCGTAGTGATGGCAATCGACTCTCAGTGCTACAATAGAATTTTCAATTTAATTTCCCTCTTGGTTTGTTTTCACGATTGGGGTTGAATAATTTGTAGAAAAAAATCAACTACCGTACCAGATTATGAATTTTAAACTTTGAATTTTGCGAACAATAAGTAATACTTGATTAAGAGGATAGTAACCCATACAGGGGTCTCAATCAAATACAAATACAGTAATTAGCATGCGTGACCAAGAAAACGCGTATAAAGAGTGTTTTTAAAGATTAGATACGGTCCGCGCGGTGCCACGTTTAATAAGGGGTTAAAAAAAAAAAAATCAAGAAAAAGCAGGGACGGATCCGGGGGGGGGGGGGAACAGGGGGCACGTGCCCCCCCCCCCCCCCCCGACCAAAAAAATAAAATAAAATAAAATATCCCCCCCCCAAAAAAAAAAAAAATTAAAAAAATTCAGGTGGGGGATACGGACCCCCCCCCCCCAATAATTCAACATCAACAAAAAAAATTAAGAGAAATTAATGATGAGAGCCCGATGAGAGTTGTTAAAGGGGAAGTCCACCCTGAAATTAAGTTAGTTTTAATAGGAGTAGAAAAATGAGAGAAACAAGTCTGTGAAAGTTTGAGCAAATTCCGATTAAAAATAAGGAAGTTAGGATTTTTGAAGTTGTGATCAATCAAACACAAATTGGCAACTCTATGACGTATCATGCGAGCTCAACTTCCATTTGCTCAGTACTAAAAAAATTGCTTGCTCATTTTTCCTGATTGAGGTGTCATATAAAAGGGCAGGAACTCAACTTTCTAGAAATGTGATTTCCTCTTTGAAATTCAGATACCGCCCGCCAAACGACTTTTCATTTTCCCTCAAGAAAAATTTCAACCATACATGCACCCTAAATATAATAATTGCAAATATGTTTCTATACTCCCCCTGCAAGGAACAAATATATATTCCGACTTCAATAACGAAGATTTTATGGAATATTATGCACAAAGCAAATGAAGGAGAGCTCGTATGATAAGTCACAGAGTTGCCAAATTGTATTTGATTGATCACAACTTCAATAATTCATAACTTTCTTATTTAACTTTCTTATTTTCATTCAGAATTTGCTCAAACTTTCACTCACCTGATTTTCTTATTATTCTGCCTCTATCGAAACAAACTTATTTTGCGGGTGGACTTTCCCTTTAATGGTTATTACTCACAAGATGACCATCAATATAGACATTTTGCTATCTCATGTTCATAATACATACATAATATGTATATATATATACATAATATGTATATATATACATAATATGTATATATATATATATATATATATATATATATATATTTATACAGTGCGTCCCAGAAAAAACGAAACCGAGATTTATTGATGTTTTATCATAACTTAATCACATTTATAATTAATAAATGACACATATTTGTAAAGCTTAGATCCTCCTCTTTCATTTGATGCACTCATTATGATGCAAATTTCACGCGTGAGTGATTAAAATTAATTTGAAGAGAGGAAACTGAAAAGTCGTTTGGCGGGCGGTATCTGAATTTCAAAGAGGAAATCACATTTCTAGAAAGTTGAGTTCCTG